CAATAGCACCCAAGGCTCAGGGAGGCCTTCAACATCCGCCTTGATGTATTTGAGGCATAAGCAGTTCTAGGGGAAAAAAAAAAAAAAAAAGAAGAAGAAAGTCTGATTATTTTAGCTGTGTAACTGAAGCAATGCAGTAGTTCATAGACAATATAATAAGTGGCTAGCAAACAGGCTACTGAGCAGAATTTCTTTGGTCCATCAATGGGCTAATAGAAGTCTGATAGAAGTCTTAATAAATAAATAAATACATACATACATACATAAAAGCATAGTCCTATACAATGAGAAGACAAGGACTGGGAAACGACCACGTATAGGAAAAAAAAACAGACTCCCCTTTAGAAACCCATACAYTTTTATTGCGATGCTTTCCGCCCCCCCCCGCGCGCGCCCCCGCCACAAGGCGGATCCTTCCGCGCCCGCATCATGGGCGTATCCTGGCAACGCGGCCCCGCAGCGCGCAGGCGCCGCCCCCTTCCCGGGGCGGCCCAAGTCTCGCGAGACGGGAGCGCGGTCGCCGCGGTAACGGGACGCGCGCCGGGCGCGGCGCCCTGGGGAGGGGGGCGGTCGCGGTGAGGAGCCCGCCCGGGGGTCGGTGCCCGCTGGGGGTTTCGCCCGTCCCCGCCGGCCCGTTCGAGGCCCCGGCAGCCGCCCTGGCGGGGCGGAGCCGCCCTGGAGGGAGGGCGGGGGTCTCAGAGAGGCGCCCGCGTTGCCGTTGGGTGCCCCCCGGGAGCAGCGGCCATTTGGCGGCGCGGGGCGGGCGGGCTGCGCGCGTGATGGCGGCCGCGCCCCGGAGGGGAGGCTGAGGCGGCTCTCGGCGCCGCCCAGGCTTATCCCCGGCCAGGCCGCGGCCCGGGAAGCGGCGCGGGAGCGGCCCTGCTCCCCCATCCCCCGCCGGTGACGGTTGGCAGCGGTTGGCGGCGGGGAGCGCCGCCCCTGGCCGGGAAGGGGCCGCCGGGCACGGGAGGGACCGGCCCCGGCGCCCTGGGTCCGCAGCGAGGCGGGCTGGGCCCAAATTGCGTCGGAGGCCGGGGGAGGAGCGGGCCGGAGAGAGCCCCCTTGGTCGGTGGGCAGCGGAGCTCAGTAAGGTTTGTTTTCCCTGTCCGTGAGCTGAGAATGAGGCCACTGATTTCACAGCCTGTGCTGCTTTCWGGGGAAACTCCACAAATCTACATTTCTGCACCTTGTTTTAAAAGGAATGCTTCATCTGGCAGCCTAGCCCTGTMAAAATAATGGCCATACTCCGCAATATTGCTGTTCCCTTGAGGGAGTTACTGATCACTTTTACTGTTTTTTTTTCTGTTCCATGCAGGCACAAAGGTAAACATAGTAGTGAGACCAAGCAAACCCAGATTTCTGCCAAAATAATAAATGAAGTAGAAAAGAAGGATTCAGACATATGAATTTTATTTAGAGACTCATTGCATGAAGGATAGTATTAATATTAGTAGTGTACAAAACAAACAATGGGATAAAAGTTTGGGAAGCAGTAGAGGAGGGAATGCTTTGCCTTAGGCAACCAGGAATAATATGAGAGTAAATAACTGCACAAATTCAGTTCTTACTCAAGCTATAACATAAACCAAAACAGAGACTGTTGCTCCTCTGAAAGGAAACATGAATGAGCTGTCCTACCGTGGAATTTTAATCTTAGTCATCCTCAGATATCACTAATGATTTGAGATAGTCATCTTCAAAATATATATCAAATCATTAGTGATAAAAGATACTAGCAGTGCACAGTGCACCTGCAGCTCCTGCAGGTTAGGAACCTTTCGCTTATTCCCTGACACGTTCATGATCACAAGGGTGAAAGAAGGATGAAGAAGGAAGGATGTTTTAAGGCTCCCATAACTGCCAAGCGCTACCAGAATCTGAGCCAGGTCTTGTCGTAAATTATGGTTCTTGACCCAGATAAGTCATTACACATGTATGAGCTTAATATGAACATAAGTGARCTGTCCCATCTTGCAGCCTGTCCTTGATCAGCAATTACTCTTTTGGACAGGTTGTATTAGAGTACCCAGGTATCCAGTAGAATTAGTTAGCAATTAGAATGTGTGCAACACTTCTGTTTTTTAATTCATTTCCTTTTTATGTATGATGCAATCTACATTTTAAACCAGGTCCTTAAGGTGAAAACATTTTGTGTTRTGATGGTCTTTTGTTTGTTGTGCAAAGAAATAGCTCTAGAGACCAGATCTAAAACTAATTAGAAAATTTTCTGGCAAGTTAAGCTTTATGGCTCCTAGTGTCTGATGCAGGCCCGAAGCATATAGAAAATAAATAAAATAGCCAGATTCCAGTCTTTTGGTGTGCTCTGGGTAAAAGTCAGTTACAGATGGAATGTTTTTAGTAAATCTTTAAATATTTATGACAAAGACAACTAATTAATTCTGGGCTGTGTAGTCCCTACACAGTGCTAGTACTACTACATTTTTAAAAGTTTATTTTTCTGTCTTGTTTTCAATTCAAACAGCTTCTCAGAGCTTTGACGAATTCCCTGCTGACAAGCCAGCCTCCCACCTCCTGTCATTCCCTCTGCTTACAAAACTTCCCATGCTTTACAGAAGTGCTGATAGCATCAGATTGTTACCTCTCGTGCCATGCTAGCCAGCACCAACTCACTGTGGTATATGCTGTGTGTGACTCTAGTTACGCACTGTTCTGTGTGTGGTAAGTTTTGTGGGGATGTATTTGTTATTTGTGTATCACTGCACAGTACAGATTTGGGCTCAGGCGTTCACATTTTAAGTCTTACTATAACACTACAAAAGCAATAATAAATTTAAAAAGTGCCCGTATTTTCTACAGGAGCTTGAAGAAACTATTCTTGCTTACAGTTAAATTCATGTGCTTTGTGGTTTAACGTATTAACTGGTTTTTCAATACTATTTTTAAATTCAGTGTGCTTAATAGGATAGAGCACTGAACTGACATTTCAGTGAGATGCAACTTTTCTATAACATAATTGTATTAATTTTATGCAAGTGATCTGTATTAATTTTATGCAAGTGATCTCTGTGCTCTGCTTCTGCTCCAAGAGTAGCAGAGACTGTTAAGGATGTCTTTTTACTTTCTTACAGATTCTGTTTACGCTCATCTTTTTGCAAGACAAAGCAGATCTCTGTCATCTGGCTCGGAGAATGGTGCCCCATCTGAACGCGCCGCAGAATCTTCAGGGCTTGTCTCCTGCGGGCCAGCTCTCCCTAGTGCACTGGCCACACCAGTGTGAGGTCATCAGGGACAGAATTGAGCACATTGGTAAGTTTTGTGCAACGCTCGAAATCAGGCTTATGAGCAAAGAGGACGTGCGCCTTAAATGTAAAAGTGAAGCCAAGAATTTATTATTGGTGTAATTGAAATCCTAAGAGTCAATATTAGTTCAGATCTAATTATCACGGAAAGAAGGATAAGAATAAGAATGCAGTTAAAGTTGTCATACAGATGCTTTACTTGCATCCTTTTCCTGGTGTTGTGCTCATCCTTGCACTGCTTCTCTGAGTCCTAGGATTGGTGACTTTAATCTGAAGGTAAGGGGATTTGTCAGCACCTGGAGTTCTTTGCTGGGAGGAATATGTCATTTATATTGGTGATTTCTTCCTCATTTTACAGTCCTCTCAAGGTCATTTTTATGTATTTCCTAACATACTTTTATACCTTCTCTTCATCAGGCTGCAGCTCCATTTTACATCTTACTATATGTGTTGCCCTTTACATATGTTAAATGYAATGTTCACTTTTTTGTCCAACTCCAGGTCCGGATTTTCTTTGAATGACCATGGATGAGTTGCTTAAAACCATGGGGTCACTAATGCCCCATCTGTGCCCCATCTCTTGTGATCCCCTGCCTGTGCAGAGCTTAGGAACAGGCAGTTGTTGAAACCCCCCATCTCATCTCAAGCCTCTCCTTTGGTATGTGCTGGCATGCAAAGCAGATTTTTACCTAATTGTCGTCATGAATCTTTCCCCATCTCTAGAGTCAAAATGACCCTGGGCCGGTACTAGAATTTTGAACACGTTTTTCTCTTATTCTGCATGAAGTACCAAACTAACCAAGCCTGCCAGTTGTGTTGGTTATGCAGTTCTGAAGACATTATCCAAACTATYTGAAACAAAAAGGAGCCTCCCTCGTTCTTTAGCTGAAGTTAAATGGGATGAATTGCTAAATTTTCAGTGTCTCCTCCAGTCTACAACCAGCCAAATAAATCTCCCTGCTTGCACTCCTTTTGTATGTGTCATTTTTTTTTTTCTCAGATTGGACACCTCCTAGGCCTGAGCCGTTGTACACTCCAACTGGTTTGGAAATGAAGCCATCGTACCAGTCTGCTGGCGAGGGCACTGTGATCTATCTGACAGAAGAAGGTGGGAGTGCCCTGAGAAATGTTGCTATCAGTTGTATGTAGCTCCTTTGTCAGCCTAATTCAAAGCCTTTTGAAATCAACAGGATTTTGGTATAAATCGTTTTCTTACAGTTAGAAAAGGAATTCAGTTATGCAGCTGTCCTCTCATCCATTCATTCTGCTCATACTATTAATTATCTCAGAAGTTCACATCAAGCCATTGTTCTCTGTGAATAGCAGTATGAATCACCCTGATCAAGTGTGTTATGAAATTTGTTATGAGTGCAGAAAGTGATTACTTAACATCAGTAAGAGTGATTACTTAACATCAATCCAAAAGAGAAACTGAAAAAGATTAGAACTGCATAACTGCAGGATCAAAACTAAAGTTTGTTTTGGAGAAGATTTTTTTTTTACTGTTTGCTTTACTGGCTTTTTTTTTTTTTTTTTTTTTTTTTTTTTTTTTTTTTTAAGCCTTGTAAACAAAACAAAAAGTGTCCAGATTGGATCAGTGCTTGATGACAGGCTTCTAAGTCTGGGAAGGACTAATTGGACAGAACTGAGGGGCAGTAGCCTCAGCCATATTTCACTTGCTCATTATCAGGGTTCTTCATACTGCTTTTGTTTTCTGCTGATGCAGTTGCCTTGAGTGAACTTGCTGATTTTGAGCCCTGGACCACTTGTACCTGAAGAAGGAATGATACAGTTTTACAGTTCTAAGTGAAGTGGATATGACAACAAATTTTCCAAATTTGCAAAACTGAAGAGGAGTTGAACTCCTTCTTGAAGTCGTTAACACACCTGGTAAAGGTTTACAATATACTGAAAAGCACTGGTATTTTTYGATATCATGTTTATTTAATTGTTCCCTTCTGCAACATGTGTTCACTATGTGCATGCAAATTGCCATATCTTTGTGTATGGGTATACTGCCCATCACTTCCTCCCTTTAAATTAAGTGCTACCTCTGGCCAAGAAAATGGTAAATGCTCAGTGGCTGGAGAAGAACCTCTGTCTTCTGCAACTGGTTTGCTAATTTATTTGTCTGGCAAGGATGAAGGTAAGGAGAAACAGTCCTAGCTTCCTGTCTTTTATTTTTTTCCCAAAAAATGCAGACAGTGATTTCTGTTGCTGTCTGTTAGTTGATGTTCTTTACATTTTGGCCTATATTACTGTCTGCATGGTCTTTGTCCTTTTTGTGGGCACAGATGGAGATGAGATGAAGCTTTGATTACTTCAGAGTTCTACATTTTTATGGCAAAAAGCTGTGCCTCTGTATTTGGCATGAACACAGACAATGCTGTTAAAATACTGCCTTCTTTCTGTAAACAGGGGATCCTTTCCCCTTAAAATTAAGAAAAAAAAAATCTGAAACATAAATAATAATGTTGCAGCCAAGAGTAAAGTCTCGCTGATGGCAGATCTAAGAGTTCCGCTTTTTAATGGACTTCAGTAGTAAAGAAGGTAATAAAAGTTTGAGTTGAGATGAGACGATGAAATCTTATTCACTGTTCCTCAGATGAGATGATTTCATTGTCTCATCTGAGGAACAGTGAATAAGGTGTCAAATCCAGATGGCTGTTGGGTTTGGGACTCCATTTCCTATAGACAAGAAGAGCTGAATGTAGGGATTTAAAAATAAACTGATTGCAACAAGCATGTATTTTTTGAGTAGAAATGTTGCTTATTTCATTGATGAGAAGACCSAAGAGAGCTAGGAACTTAGGGGTCTTTCTGCCTAACATAGCTGTTTTGCATCAATACAGAATATAAATCACCCTTAGCTCATAGAGAGAGGGGGGGGGGGGGAGGAGACTGGCACATCCTAGACAGACTGCCCTGAATCCTTAAAGTTAAGCAGAAATGGAGAGCAAAATCTTTATATACTTTTTGGAAGTTTACCCAGGATACGCTTGAAGCTCAGCTGCATGCAGTTGTCCATTTCTTTCTAGGATGTTCTAGAAGAATGTTAATATTCCCCAAAATGACTCAGACTGAAATAAAAAAAATCTCTGTTTTTTGTGTTGTTGTTTTGTTTTTCTGCTAGCTAACAAAGATTCGGGTTTTGTGTATTCTCGAGTGAGAGGTCTCTCCCCTTCAAAGCAGATCCTCCATGAGAACGGGGACAACACGTTGATCTTTGAAGCACGATTTGAGAGCGGGAATTTGCAGAAGGTGGTCAAAGTGTAAGTTTCTCATCTTTTCTTTGTTTATTAAGATTTAGTTATTACCAGAGTTTTTAGTATCAGTGGCCTGCCATTGGTTTGTGAGCATGTTCTAAGTTTGTTTTCAATTATTACAGTGGTTGAATGATTTTTGAAAATAGTCTTAAATAGTCTTCTCATGAAATAATCTAATAGCCATTGCATGGTGTTTAATAGTTTCTGTAGGTGATAATCTCCTACGCAAATAAAAGCACCTTTTTAAGTCCTTCCTTTTAAACCATAATGCGGAGAGCTTTTCAGTAAGTCCAAATTATTACTAGAAGTCCTGAGGAAGAGATAAATTGCATTATTGACAGACTCAGTCCAATTCACCATCTTTTTCTGGCATGGCCTAGATTTGATTTGATGCTGTCAATCTGCTAGATTTGTACCTGACTCACCACAGAGTGCTTTTCCATGATGTTCTGCACTATGTGGCTCCTCATCATGCTGCACTGCTGACTGTTGTCACAGCTGTTTGTTTGTTTCTCCTGGCTGCCAGGAATGAGTTTGAGTACCAGCTGACGCTGCGCACCGACCTCTACACGAGCAAGTACACGCAGTGGTACTACTTCCAAGTGAGCAACACGCAGGCGGGGATGCCCTATCGCTTCACCATTGTCAACTTCAGCAAGCCCAACAGCCTCTACAAACGGGGCATGCGCCCTCTCCTCTACTCGGAAGCAGACGCCAAGAAACACAACGTTGGCTGGCGGAGGACGGGAAACGAAATCAAGTATTACAGGAACAGCGCGGGCCGAGGTGGGCGGCAGTATTTCTCACTCACTTGGACGTTCCAGTTCCCTCACAACAGAGACACCTGCTATTTTGCCCACTGCTATCCTTACACCTACTCCAACCTTCAGGACTACCTGGTATCCATCTCTAAAGATCCGGTGAAGTCCAAATTCTGCAAGATCCACGTCTTGTGCCATTCGCTGGCAAGAAACATAGTGTATGTTCTAACAATCACCAACCCCCATGAAGGTGACAAGGACACAAAGAGGAAGGCTGTGATATTAACTGCAAGGGTTCATCCAGGGGAAACAAACAGTTCCTGGATCATGAAAGGCTTTCTGGATTATATTCTTGGSAATTCAGGCAACGCCCAAGTGCTCAGGGACAATTTTGTCTTCAAAGTGATACCAATGCTGAATCCAGATGGTGTGATCGTGGGAAATCACCGCTGCTCTTTAGCAGGTCAGGACTTGAACCGCAAATACAAATCAAACCTGAAGGAATTTTACCCTTCCATCTGGTATACCCGAAACATGATCAAAAGGTAACCCCCTTTTTAAATATTTTTAATTGAAAGTAAGTGATTTTTTTTTCCAGTGTTTCCATGTTAATGTGGTCTGTATTGGTTTGGTATTATTTACATCTTTGCTCTGTACCCAAGCATTCCTGACTGCTTTGTTCACATTGTGTTGCATTTCAGAGTGATGGCTTTTTTCTTTTTTTCCTGTCCTTTATAGCACTGTGCACATTTTTCCTGTAATATATGTTCTCTTTCCTGTTTGAAAATTATAATTCCAAAGTAAGACCTTTCTTCAAAACGTTTTCAACATATTTCTCCCCACTGCCAAGATTTACTAATTAAAGTTCCAATTTGTCTTTCATTTTCTTCCTCTGGACACGTCCTGGAATGCAGTTAGGTTCAGAATAGATCCCAACTGTCCATTTGACAGGAAAGGTTGTCAAGTTTGCTGTATGTTTTGCTACAAATGTTTGAKTTCTGATGCAATCACGTAGCCATTAGTGGGCTATACCCATTTATTTTGGGTATAAAACTAAATTTTCTTCTTCTCACACAATAAACTATTGTGCAAGAAGCCAGTGTAAGAATTAGTAGATGTGATTTTTCTGATGAGATGTCAGTCAGAACCTATTTTAAATAAGATCTGTGTTCCTTCAAATGAATATATTTGACATGTAGACAGCATAAAGGAGATGAGCGTCGTGCCTCTCTTTTTCTATGAGAATCCCTTTCTCTAGTTTATTGTATGAAGAGAGCCTGGACTTCTGAGTACACTGTAATTAACATCAATTATTTGTGCTGAATTACTACAGTTTTTCAGGCTCATATTCCACAGCTGTCAGCCAAGACGTGTTTATTATTGCTTCCTGTTGATTCCAGCATGGATTTCCAACTGCCACCCAAATGAAAGCTCCAAGATGACTTGCTCTGGTGCCATCACCTCCTCCTCATAAAACATCTTTAACAGGAATTGGACAGTAGAGGCGGGCATGGGGAGTTAAATCCAAGCATGTTTACCAGAAGCTTTTCTTTAGGAAGTTAGTTAAGTGATAGTACTGTGCAGAAAGTTGACACGCTATAGAAGTTAATGTGTCTGCCCTTAATAAGGAGGAGAATATTCCTTGCATTATTCTCAGCTGCTTGATTGTGCTTCATATWATAATTGCAAAGCATGTGAGATTGAGCCTATGTACAAGAGCAAAACAGCTGCAGATAAAAGTGGGATGTTTCAGCCCTACAACATGCCCTAGTATACAGCCATAGATTGGGTTTGTATAACAGCCTTAGAGTTACAAAGACTAAGAGAAAATCTAGTAAAGACTAGATTTACTAAGACTAAGAGAGCAGAAGAAAAACACTCTACATGCTGCTGCTGGACAGAAATAGATCAAGGAAATAACATATCAAAATAAAAAAAAAAGGTAGGACTTGTTGTTTTGAAAGGTGGTGCCCACCCAACTTCTGAAATTCTAGAAGACAGCTCACCACTGTCAAGAGCAGAACTAACCTGTGTCAAGAGTAGGCTTTAATATCTTACTTAATACTACACTGTGAGAAGTATTTTGATCCTGCATGGAACTGAACATGCATGGAACTGACTGACATACCAAAGGCTTACCTTAAAGCTCATAATATGAAACTCATTAATTTTTTTTTCCTGTTTATGTTAAACGTGAGTTTCAATGTTTATTCGGTGATACATTAGCCTAGATTAATGTTTTTGAGGTGAAAGAAAGAAAAACTTTTAGTAAAATATTCTATGTTGTTTTATATTACAGAGTGATGGAGGAACGTGACATTATTCTGTATTGTGATCTCCATGGTCACAACAGGAAAAAGAATGTCTTTGTATATGGTTGTGAAAGAAAGCAACAAGCAAAAGCACCAACTTTGCATCCACGGGTCTTTCCACTCTTGTTGAGCAAGATCTGCCCAGATAAGGTAAGCAAAATTCTGGCTAGAAACTTCACCTGAAACTTCAAACACCCACTAGGATCTCAGTTTTTATTTATAGAGGTATCATATACACTGAAAAACTGAGTTTTGTCCAGTAAAATAACATTTGATTGGCTAAAATTACAGRTTGTAGGAATATGAAATACCTTTTCCTTTGAGAATTTCTGCATTGGACAATATTAATATAAATTTATATCATGCTGAACTGGAACAAAAACTGGGACAAAAAGCATGTTAAAAGGTTTTCTAAGAATAAAAAATGGAAGTATGAAAGTAAAACTGCATTTTGCTTTGCCAATGTAAAACGCTAACATGAAATTTTACATGTAAATATGTTAGATATGGCTTTATAATACATTATAAAAATGACATAAAAACAAAAGACTAAGAAAATAAAAAACTAAGACAAAGTCAGAAAGTATTTCTCTGTGCTAAATAGTTTTGAAAATTTTATGTTGAAAATTATGTCAAAATCTCCTTGTTTGTGTAAGTTATTTCAATTGGAAAAGAAATATATTTTTAGTAGGAAATGATTGCATTTCAAATATAACATTTTCCAGCAAAATCTGACTTGAAAGAGCTGCTTTTAAACYAGAAAGATTGCAAAGGTTCAGCAGTAAATACATGTACCCACAAATTAATCTACTAGCACATTAATGCAGCTAATGCTATTATATTCAGGTATCAAGGAGAAGGTGGTTGTGAACTCCAGGTAGGTTACATTAGCACACTGCTGATATATTAACTCATGAGAGAAGAGCTTTCAAGAAAGAGTTTTGTTAAATATGTGTGTTAGTATAAATGAGGTCTTGCGATAAGTCAGATGATCATTTCCTTATATAGGCTTATTTAGTAAATATAGACAGCCTCAAAAAAACACAGAAGTCTTTTTTAAAAAAAATAAACTTCTAATCAAAGAATTGTTGTTTTACATAAATCTCCATTATACTAGTAATGACAGAGATCACTATGAAGAATGTAGTGCAATATTACAGTAAGGTAGCATAAAAAATGTTCATTTGTTTGCCTGATAGAGGCAGAAAACTTTACAGGGTTAAAATAACATTATTGTATCTTCATTTTACTTCAAAGGCTGACACTGTACTTCTCATTTAAGTTCTCATTCCCAGACTGCCGTTTCAAAGTACAAAAGAGTAAAGAAGGCACAGGGCGAGTTGTGATGTGGAAGATGGGGATCAGCAACAGCTACACTTTGGAAGCCTCCATCTGTGGCTCTAAGTTGGGTGAGCCCGTTTTCCCATAGCTTTTTGGTAGAAATCATCAAACAAGACCCTATATTTATTTTTTTCCATGGAAAATGGTAGTTTGAGCCTCCMTCTCTTTGTTGGTCTTCTGTCTCATTGAGTAGAAATGAATGATGATCTAAGATGAGAGCTGATTYAAAAATAACCGACCAACCAAAAAAAAACTAGGGCACTTGCCTAGTGACCTTCCAGGCCACTGCTAGTGTTTATTACACATGTATCATAGAAATGCAGATAAGATATCAGTGGATGGCAAAATAAAGCAGTAAGTGAAAACAGCTGTGTGAGGGTCAGTTTTCTGGAAGAGAATGTAGCGCTTCGGTGTATGGGTGCACAGTGAGAGAGACAATTGCTGCTGAAAGTCATAGTTAAATCCCTTTGAGTGGGTACATTTGTTTATATAGTCAAGACAATGATATGTAATACCAGTTGTATAAAACTTTTCTGCTAGGCAGACCCACCTAGCATTCTTCAATGAAGTATGTGTGAGTTTGCAATCAGCCACCATGCTGAACATAGCACAGCTGGCAGCCAGCACTATGCCTGGCATTTTCATTTCTGATGCTGCAGGCCAGAGACAAAGCACCCACTTCAACACAAAAGACTTAGAGTCAGTAGGACACCATTTCTGTGATGCTCTCTTGGACTACTGTGTTCCTAATATGAAGGTAAGGCAAGTTCTTCCCAGGCCTTTGTCACTGCCTCACTTGGTCTTACTGTGACAAAATAAGATACTGTGCACAGTTACAGTAATAGTAAATTTGATAATGGCTTTCGATAAAGCAGTAAATTGCATGTATGGTGTTTCTTAGTATTACCTGTGCCTGAAGGAACACGAGGAAATGGTGAAACAGCAAGCTAAGCTGAACTCTGAGGGCCTGAATTCTGATGTGTTAGACAGGGATTCCAGGTAAGTTAGAACTATCAAGATGTGCCACGTGTTTGTGGGGTTTTTTTGTTTTTGTTTTTTAAATCTTCCTCTACATCCCCTAGAGAGTGCTGGAATAAAAGTTAAAAGCCTTACTAAAGATGGACCCTTAATATTTGCACTCCGATAAGATGGCCACGTGTAAGTCTTACTATACAAACCTTAATAACCCCTTAGTTGGGAATAGAGCTCTGTGTCTGCTCAAGCTGACTGTATCCTTCAAAGGAAAGCTGTGCTCCTTTCATGCAGTGTTGAGTTCCACAGGCTCTTAAGGAGAGATGAAACTGCACTGGTACAGAGCTTGGTCCATTGCATCATTTAATCAATGTGCTCTTTTTCAGCCTGACATTTTGCAGAGCAATGTAGCTATAGTATAAGGTATATTGTTCTGTTTTTGTTTATATGTAATTTCATTAACCAGGGATGGTGCTAGACTGATTCCATTAAAGCAAAGGAGATGATTTCAGGGTAACTGATGACAGTGCAAGAGGGTAACTGTCAAGCAGCGCACTTGCCATTAAAAACCATCAGCCCCTCCTGTGCCAGTTCTGACTGTGAGAGACARCAGGACCAATTGTGCAGGTGCTTTATGAGATATGGGCATTTATGTACCATGAAAGGCTATGGACCCTAAAAACATATTTCTGGAAATTGGAGAAATCAACAGCCAAGCTTCACAATTGATGCTGAAATGCAAAGATATGGGGAGAGATGCTGCCTGCCTTAACATATGAGAGCTCGCAGAAGCTTCACTGAAGACAAAGAGGGTGATGTTCATGAGAGGATTTAAGAGGGGAGGAAGAAACTAAGTGAAGTAGAACTAAAAGAAAGCTCTATCTATAATCAGGAGATGTCATCTTTCAATAACGAGCCTGTGTCTAAAATTATGCCCATTTTTTTKAGTGTTATCTGTAGGTCTATAAAACTAAAGCATAGGTCTGAAAAACATACATGTGGAAAGCATATTTACATCTTTGCAGCTAGGGTTAGTACAGGGAACACCAGCTAATGGTTGTTATGAATTCAGAATAAAAATACTTCTTTGTGGTCATCAAATTTGGAAGTAAAACAAAATAATGCTTGTCTTTCACAGCAGCCAAACTTCTGACAGCTCCGATTCCTGTGATCTTGTTGCACCCCAGCTAAAACTAGGTACTAAGGTATGCTGTGATTTTTTCTTGACTGTTTACATCTCTTTCTGAATACTGCGAAGAAAGAACTAGACCTTAGTAGGCTTTATTTTGAAGAAGTCTGGAGTTAAATGAAGCAGAATAGTAGTTAAAACATCAGTGAAGTAACTGAGATTTGTAAATGATCTATATAGCCTATAGACATGCCGATCAAATTTTCCTGCGTACCTTCATCCCAAATTGTCCAGAAGCTGCAGTTTTAGTCTTAAAAACCTCAGCTTTCTGCTCAGCCATGTAGCAGATGCAGATCCTCAGAGTGAGGGTGAGGACCCCATCTTTTAGCACAGAAGGTATAGTGCCTATTTAAACAATCTCAGACGTGTTTTGCAAATAGTCGAGAGTGTTTGGGAGGTGTGTTCTCCTCTCACACAGACAGACACATTGTGACAGTGATACCAAGTGCTGTCAGCAAAAGACTGATCCTGCCCCATTGCCTATTTGCAGYCTGGTAGGCAAATTTGGCCCTAGATTATGCAAAGTGTTTTCCCTTGGAGGTATTGGGACATTTTGTTAAATCGTGTGTTTACGTGTTTTGCTAAACAGGAACAGAWTGAATGTTTTGGGTGGGGGGAAATGGAGGGGGACGTGTTTTTGTTTACTTGATGTTTATTTCTTTGGTGCCTGGGATTGCTGTAATAGTACTTGAGATGTTTGTTGCACGTGAGCAAAAAGAACTGTTGCAAGTGGATTTTAGAAAGCTGGTGAGTGAATTTTAGCCACAACAATAGTTTCTGTAGTTACTTCCTGTRGTTGTTCTTGTAGTTACTTCCTGTTTGTGAAATAAGTGCAGTAAACGCACAGAGGGAAAAGAAGTGGTTGTACCAAAACAGAGGAGAGTGTAAAACTGAAGTGAGTACCTGTAGCACTTTTGAGATCAAATGTCAATGAGCATTTCAGATGGCTGGGAAGCTTGACAGCTGTCATGGTTTGGAGTTGTAGGTCTAGTTTCAGTGATGAACTAGGTTGAACCAAGTTGTTGTCAGATAAGATCTTGTGAATTCACTTGTGGTGAGAGAAACTGTCAGGAGCTCCTTTATGTGCTCTGCTCAGGCGTGTGTTGCTGAAAGAGCTACGTGGAGAGCACATATTTGTGCAAAATCTGGCAGCAGAGCTTAGTCTCACTGTKGTTCAGAGTTTAAGCAATGCTGATGGGTTTGGTACTTGCAGGTAGATGTCTGGACAGTCTCTCCACTCAGCCAACCCTCCTGGAGAAGTAATAATATCTGATGAAAGGGTTGCAGTCGTGGTGTTGGCTTTTATTTCATGTTTACTACAGCTTGAAATTTCTTCATTTACTATCTGTTGTGATAAATACCCAAGCGACATCACAGATTTACTGCTATTATTATTATTATTATTATTATTATTATTATATAATATAATATACAGAATATCAACCTCAGTAGTTTGGACCAAAAATCTGTTTTGTGCTGTGGAAAACATAGTAGCAGAGGGCTAGTAAAGTAGACAGAGAAAGGATGAGTATTGAGAGTTTTTTGGTGGTGTTTGTTTGTTTACTACTATGTGAACAGTAAATCCATGTAGGTACATTTCCCAGCACTGTATTTTTTTGAAAAGAGTTCATGAAAACCTCAGCATGATATGAATGAATAACAGGCCAAGGGTAGCAATATTTTCTGATTAACACCAAGCGTGCCGGTTGCCTCAGTACCTCTCAGCCCTTGGTGCTTTCTTGTGCAGGCTGCCCTGGTCWCGCAAGCAATGCCCTGTGCGTGCGAGGGTGAGACAGGGCACTGGCAGCCCTAGGGAATGGTAACTTGAGAACAGTGTAAAAAAGCCTGCCTGAAATGCTGAGCCTTTGCATTTGATCTGCTGAAAATAAACTTGTTTATGTGGAAAGACTCACATGCCTGTCAGTGGGACTGATTCTGTTTTTTTTTTCTCTCTGATGTCTGTAGGCACAATTTTGTTTTAGTCTATGAGAGCTGCATACAAAACAAAGAATGCAAGTGTGCCTGATGTCTGTAATACAGCTGTAGGCTGAGCTGACTACCACGTAACTAATGACTTGTGGTAAGACAGGAGTGCCTGGTAGTCATCCCATGGATTGGGATGAAAGGTCACTTGCCCAAATGATACTGAAACTGTGGAAACCTTTTGGATAATCATGATTGCAGGGGATTTGTAGGCTCAAAAAGCCTAGTAGACTTGCTAGGTAATAAAGAACAGCAGTAAAAACTGCAGAATACCTTCATAAAAAGCAACTGAAAAGCCGTACAGAACCCACACAAGCATTTGGTAAAGCTTCGTTACTTCATATGCATGCTGAACAGTGGATTCCTTGACCCAAAGGACTCTTCACATAATGTGATTAGCCATCTAATAGTTCATCACATGTAACCTTCCACTTGGTCTCCCTGCCACATTCCTAGCTATGTATTCCTTCCACTTCTCTTAGTGCCTCCTGTGACCTAATTTAATACAGTAATCTGAGAGCAAACAAACACAGGGGGGAAAAAAAGGCAAATTAGGTCATTGTCTGCTGGGTTAATGTGTTAAATCAGCTCATGGAAATTTTTACTGAGTATCAGAGCCAGTTTGAGAGAAGTAGCAAAACACTCAGGGAGGAGTGAGTGAAGTGGCAGGTTGGGGAGCAGAGAGATGGTAGGATCAAGGCAAAGGAATGAAACTTTTTCCTGCAGCAGCAGGAAGCCATTAGGAGATCTCAGCTGTAGGTGATTATTTGGACCTCTACATTGTTAAAGTTACTTCACTTTGTGAATTAGGCACTAATTTGAATTAATACAAAACAAAGAACTGGCTCCAGCAACAGATGGGTGCAGTGTGTGTGCAATAGGAATTAAACATATGAAACTGATATTGTTATTATTTAAAGAAAGTTACAACAATTTATCAAGAAACTTTGAAAGAACAGCCTAATTCCTGCAAGAAACTTCTTTCATTTGYCCTTTTCCTGATTGCATGTGTTTTCTCTCTATGTTACTACAGCAGTGACCTTTTAAGATGATTAGATGAGAAGACTTAAAAAATTTCTGTTCTTTATAAACTTTCCACAGAAGTGCATAAAGGCCTTTGAAAAAGATGAATGGCAATAAATATTGCAGGTATAGGAGATGTTTTGACAGAAATTTGTGCCAAAGCTGTTTGTAACCCTCAAAGGCATTTTGTTCATGTTGAGCCTGGAATATGGGCTCCAGATGTAWACCAGGAGCACTACTGTTATTGCCTAGAGAAAGCAAAATGTAATTTTGAAGGAAAAAGTCGTATCAGTATTTTCATGGGTAATTCTTTTTATATACATGTGCATTATAATACTGATCTATGAATACTTTAATTGGTTCAGTGGGTAGACCRCTGCTTCCCAGACTGCTTTTGTTGTGTGCCAATCTTTGTTTTCGGGAGCCTGTACACTGGAAAAACAGAGCAGTGGCAATTCATGCTACTGAGAAACCCTGGTTCTTCAGGTTCCCAGACTAAAAATAAACATTCCAAATCGAGTAGGAAATGAGGTCCCTCGTCAGTATGACATGTTTGTGTCCAGGTTCATAAATATTTGCTGAGCAGAACAGCATAAGAAATTCAGTCTTGGGCAGTTTGTTTGCATGTATTCTTTCTGGCATTAGGATTATCATGTTTATTTACAGCTCCTTTTCGTGATATTCCCTCATGATTTGATTCATGATATTCCCTCATGAATCAAAATGGTTATATACAATTTTTTTTTTCTGTGCAGAACAAACCCAAAACATCAGGAGAACATTTTCACAGGATTGCCAAGGAGAGAAGTTATGAAGGCAAAAATGTGAGCATTTTTTTATCCCAGTAAAAACATGCTAACACAACATAAAGTAATATATGACAGCTTAATTCAGCTACTGTAAATTTGGACAAGCAATTTTGTCAACAAAAGTCACTGACACTTTTTTTTTTAATAATATCTAATTTATGCCACCCACTTTTAAAATGGAAGTCCAAGCAGGAACAAACGGTGAAATTCCATCTATGTTAATGTATTACTTGATACTTTTAGCTCTTTCTGTGGAGGAATGGGCATTAGAGCTGGAGATGATACCAACTCCTTTTCAGTCTCTGAAACTATGAACAACACTGTCCCTCAGCTAGRCCCATTTCCCTTCTAATTTAGTTGAAGAAAACTTTTGCCAAATCTATTTAAATATAAATAATATAAATATTTATAATATATAAATAATATAAATATCCTGTGTTTTTCACTCAAAAGAGTGTTGCAAAGAGCAAGGAAAGGARAAGGCCATGGGCTATTTTAGGGAAACGAAACAGGCATTAAATTTTCTAATTAATTTAGGCTTTTTTTTGCCAACCTCTAACTCTGAAATATTTTTACTGGCAATATTTGTAAAGCAGAGTCATATCCCTTCTTAGCTTTTAGAGAATGTAATTTGGTGCTCAACATATATTGCCTGACGTAGCTACTGGCATTAGTTTTATTAGTATGTCATTGTCAGGATAGTTGGTATAATTGGTTTAAGATTTTTTTTAAGACATTATTTCTCTATTATTATTGTTCAGCATTTTATTTAACTATTTAGAAAAATGTGTCTGTGATTGTAGTGRCAAGCGCTAGAAAATTTGAGAACAACAGAGTCTAATATTATCTTCTTTTCATKAAAAGGAACTTAAACATTTTTAAAATGCTGACCACCCAAAAGCTTACTTAGTCAACAGAAGTTGCTGAGTTTTCTGACCTTTGGGGATTTAGTTAAGCACTGAATGCTTAGCTTGCTTTAAAATATGTGAGATGCACCTTTACATGTTAGACTTTTCCCACTTAAGCTAGTTATCCTTTACCAAGTTTCSTCTATCCTAACGTAATTTACACATCTTGAATAACCAGTGGCTGCTGAATAATACCTTTTGYTCATTCTGTCTCATGGAACTTAATAATATTAATAGTGTTTAATATTTAATATTGTTTTGTTTAATAATGTTTATGTTTAATAATGTTTGTGTGTTTCTCTTCTTTCTTGCAGGCTCAAGGCATTGAAACGTTTCAGGAACTTGATCCAGTAGGCAGAGGTAAATCTACGTTTTTTGTATCTTGTATGCCTTTTAATGTCCAATAAGCCTTTTATTATTATTATTATTCTTTTCCTTACTTTAAACTGTCTTCCTCACATTATTATACTCTACTTCTCTTACTGGTAGCAGTCTTATTGAATCCACGTCAACCTCCAGCACAATACAAAGGTAATTATTTGCTTATGTGGACTCTCTGACAGAGAGAACCTGAGTTCATAACATATTTTTTTAAACCTGTGTGAAGATAACCAGAAGATTGTTTTCCTGTGCTTGCCTGTCCCTCCCCATTCTCATTTTTGCTTTCATTTCAGTTTATGGTTTAAATGTTATTAATGAAATTCTGCATCAACAATATAGGCACTTCTTCATTCAAAATAAAAAGACTTCAGGATTTTGTAATGATATTTATGTCCAAGGGTCATGCCTTCCCATAGTCTGTCAGACTGCTTCATCTCACCTACAGATCATGAAACTCAAACAATAATTTCTTTCCTCACCCTGCTCTTCCAATAAGGTATTTACTGCACAGTGCTGAAGCCAGGCACAGCTAATCTAGTTCTGCCTAAGAACTGGTGGCCCTACAGATCACATGCAGTGTGAAGGGAACGATGAAGTAACAAGCAGTGACTCCCACTTCCCCACCACAGATAATTATAACTGTAATCAACTTGTGTGGGACAGTCAGATTCGGTCTGGTTAAGTGAGTGTAAGTGCTACAACTGCTCAGGGCTTGCCTGCAAAAGTGGAAGGTAATAAGGAACTTGAGTAGTCACTAATAATATGATTTTTAGAAGGTTTTTGCAATCTTGGGAGATTTTTCAAGCACTTCCTTTTGCAGCTGCATCTGTTGCTTGTTATTGTGTAGGATGCCCCAGGGTAAAAATGTAACAGATCACATTCACCTTTCCTGGAATTGATATTGCTTAGAGGAAACGAATGAATCCTTTCTGACTAACTGCTCTTATTACTTTGTTATGTGTTTTTAGACTTTATCTGGAATACTGTCTCCCAGTCTACAGAAAACTTTATATCCCCAAATCCTTTTCTTTCTCCTACCACATTTCAAAAAACATGCCATGCAAGTGGTAGAGGAGGAGTTAGGACAGTCTCTGCATGTCGTCCTCTGAAAACAGAGAGCAGGTCAAGGGAGAAGGAAGAAAAGATCCAGCACAGAGGTAAGGACTAGGAGAAATTGCAGCCAAACAGGTCTGGAAAACTGCCCAATATCTTGCAAGCAGAGATGATCATACAGCTAGGAGTCTCCAAATCMCGTAGGTTATGGGAGTCAAAATATTGTTATTTCATTAGCAGTGTGTGTAGTGAAGAGAGGTGCTATGCTTGAAGGGATATCATATACCTGAAGGGAAATGATCTGTAGCCTAAAGGTTGCTCTGACTCATGCACTTTTATCTCACCTGCACTGCAGTCCCTGTTCTGCTGCTGCCTCAGTGCAACAAGAAGAACCCCGGGTAGGCTGCCAGGCTCCTTCCAGATTCACTGTGTGTTTTGCTCTTACGCTGCTGCCATCTCASTGTTAGCAAGCCAGCTGTCCTGGAGTGATCCCTGGCAGCCCAGCTGCCCAGGAACACGTAGCTCCCCTCAAGGTCAGTGAGCTGGCACTGCTGCCTCTGCTTTCCCGCTCCCACCCTTGTCCATATGCTCAGGAGACACCTCCTGTGTTACCTACTGTGACGCCTGCTTCACTCCACCAGAGTGAAGAGCACACACAAAGCAGCCATGTGTATCATCTACTGTAGCGGGAGTGCAGCAGTCTTCCTCACCAAAGCCTGGTGATCAGAGTGCTTAGCAGTAAGAGGGGCAGCTAAGTGGTATTTTATCCTCAGCCTAGGGGATTCCAGCCTGAATTTTTCCACTTCCCAATAAAAGGCCTTAAGATTCAGACTCCTCAGTTCTGGATCTCTGTTTTTCTGTGATGGTCCAGTAAAGCATTTCCAGTAGTTAAAAATGACCATGGAATCATCGTCCAAAAAGAGAAACACAGAAGAGTACATGATGTTCTAGTCTAAATCCATCCTCCACAGAGTAGTCCCTGATCTAACGATTGGGTTGTGTCTGGTGTGATTTGAATGTCGAACGCAGTCACACTACTTGAAGCAAAAACTAGGACTAAGAACAAACTCTGCAGCAGAGCTGCAGTCCTACCAGAGCAAGAGAATGCTGTTGTCTTTGGCACTTTCACTTGTTGACTGCAGTTTTACCATAGTAGAACACTTTCTGGGGAAGTTGAGCAGTGTCACCATCCCAAAATACCCTTTGTTAGGCAGTAGAAGACAGGAGATGGGAATGTGAATTTGAGTTTGCTAAATATGAGGTAAGTCTTAATGCTCAGAACTAGCTGCTTTACATTTGTTTAAAGTATCTAAGTGGCTTGATGTCCAAGACGTCTAGTTACTGTAACTCTAATCCACTTCAACCAACTGTTGAGCCTGAACTAGCCAAGGTGAAATTAGAATGCTTCTTGTCTTGCTGTTTTTTGAAGGGATCTGATGTGTACCTTTTTGGGTTTTTTTTTTCTCCAGTAAAATTGCCAATTACAACCTCTGTGAAGCAAGCAGGAGGGTGCCTAAGGTAGGGGAAAGTAGTAGTATTTGAAATGCATCTAGACTTTCACAAGGAGCAGGGATGAGAGGATCAGGCCAAGTTCTCAGCCTGATTTTTCAAAATCCACCCTCCTCTTTGTGTTCTTGTGACATTGTGCCTTATTCCTTTGCCTCTCGTGGAATCTGTAGTGCTAGCTGGTGCTAGCAAGACAGAAAGCCTTTCTTTTTCCATCCCACCTGAGGTGCTAGATCCCCTCCTTCAGCATATAGCCCTTCTTTCCCTTGCTGGCCTCCCAGGAGCACAGAGGAAACAATTGCTGTTGCCTGAGGGGGGAAGGAGAAAATGGGGCAGTGTCACTACTAAGAAACRGGGATATAGATCAAGGAACAAAAGATGTGCTGGGCTAACTACAGGAGTCCAAAACAGGGCATCTGCTAATTCTAGCAGATGGTTTGGTATGTACTACACCTGAAATCATAATGCCATCATGGTATCGGTATCCAGCTGATCGCTACACACCAGTCCACCTCAGGTTCTAGTTCTCTGGCAGTGAACACTGCAGGCTGTGCATTCTTACGGGTGTGCAAGACCCTGTGGCGGTAACAGTGCTGGTCAGTGTTGATTACTTTCCTAAATACTCACCTAGTGGTAGGATAAATGCTCTGGTCTAGCCCAGTGCACTCCTGTGTGTTGCTGGGCAGTCAGAGCAAAGTGGAATTGGCTAATTAATCTGACTGCAGTGGATCCTGTCACAAATACCTTATGAAATAGGATATATTAATTTCTTCACACAATATTAGTTCAGGGATTACTGCTTTGCACCTTTAGCTCTGACACTGGTACTCAAACTGGAAAATCTAAGACTTTCCCCTGAGAAAGAGGAGACAAGAGTGTATGATGTTTTTGTTTAATTTTGGGATAATAAGGTAAATCCCTACTCCTTCTATCATGAGTGTATCTATCTGATTCAGAGGGGATATTGGTATAGAGGTTATATATTGGCACTAGTGTCCTCTAGGTGATATGATGGCATTGTGATTCTGTGTATTTTGAAGTAAAGAAAAACGCTTCTTTTTTTTTTTCAAWCTAAAGTAGCAGAAATTTTAACTGTTAATGATACACCTTCTAGGCTGTCATCTTTATGTAAAGATTTTTTGTCATGAATTTATGTGGCGATAATTCTTTTTTTTTTTTTTTGGTTGACCTCTGTATGTTTTAGCTCTAAGAGACTTCCCTATGGTGCTGAAAGTATTCATGAAAAGCCATCTATGTCCCAGGAGCCAAAAAAAAGTGCTGTAGTCCTGGCTACAAGAGAGAATTTTCATTCATCCAGCTTTAATCTCATCTCCCAGAAGATGAAGAAATTGGAAAGCAAAAGTGTCTGCAACTCTTCAGAGAAGACATTTCAATATGCAAAAGGTTTCTTGGTTATTGTTCTATTCTGGATTCACAAAGCAATAGGATTTGGTGGGTTTCTTAGTCTAGTATCCTCAGGTACTGAAAGCCCTGAGACAGATGGTAGCAAGACCTGTAACAGGGATAGAAAACTCCTATGTTCTCAGAAGTAACTGACACTTTCTGGAGGATATCTGGAGGATATCAGAACAGATTTCATAAAGGTTTTCGGCTCAGACACTTGAGGTCCAAAAGCTTTTATACATCTTCATGCTGAACAGTTCACTGAAAAGGAATTGAAAAAAATCTCAGCCAAATGGCAAAGGATAATGCCTCTGACCCTGTCCTCTTCTTCTCCTGCTCCCTGTAGGAGAGGCTCTGTCCATCAGTTCATACCTTTTCATATGTGTCCACATACCATAAAGGGTTGTATAGTATGATTCTGTGAACTCTTTGAAATAATCCTTTAATAAGGATCAATCCTTTAATAGAAGATCGAAATGCTGGAACAGTAGAGCAAGGTCCCACGCCCAGGGCAGAAGGTTTTACCTGGCAGTCATGATCGTGAATTATACCGTGGCTCTCCTATAGTAAAGGAAATGCATGTTCCTGACTTWCTACCTGTTTCTTGTGAATGAAACCAAAGCCTTGTACTTTCTTAGCAAGCAGTAACTTAGTAGTTGATTATTTTTTCTTCCTTTTGACTCAGGTCATGATTCTAATGCAAAAAGCAGTTCAAGTAAGGAAGAAAGGAAGATGAAGGAGAGGCTCTCCTCAAAAGCCACAAGGCCCAGCAAAAACAAGACAGCAACAGCAAACCAAGATGTAAATTTTAAGAAGAATAATTCCGATCAGATTCAAAATGCATTGCAGTTCTTTCCACCCTTATTGCCTGAAGCAAAGGGCAAACAATCTGCTACAAAATAYCAGGATGTATTTTGGAACTTCAGTTCTTCAAACAATGAAGGCATCTGAAAAAGTGTCATATATGTGTGACTTGCCTGAACAATTCTTAAAACTCTGATTACAGATTATGTCTTTGCCAGTGAGGGTATAGATAACCAGAGAAGCCAAAGATTTTCTTGCTTTTCCTTTCTGAGAAAAAAAAATTACAGTTCACACACAGTTGGGTAATGAGCACATAAGGTTTCTGTCAATATATGAAGAAGTACCCAGCATTATGAGCTAGTTTAGCTGCAAGTGTCTTCTCAATATAAAATATAATTTGTCTTAAACACTATGTGCTTTTTTTATTTATTTTTTCTTGTGGGTTAGGGGAAGGAGGAGAGGGTGTGTTTTGGGGTTTTTGATTGTTAGGCTAAGTCCACTTTCAGGGAAAAAAATGGAGGAAGATTTAARTCCCTATTTCTCTCTCCCTTTTTTGGTCTCTTTGGAAGTTTCCCGAGATTTTCAGGGACAGGGATTATTCGCTGAGCAGCTGAAGCTACTCTTCCTTGGTCATAGCAGAAAAACCTAGAAAGTCATAAGCCATGATAACTGGAGAGACACAAGCCATTTCACCAAGAACCAACTAGATTTTACACTCATTTGAAAAAAACTCTGTGCACAAATAGTCATTCTGTGTTTTTTTTTTTTTTTTTAATGGACATAATGGATGTAAAAAATGTATGTGGACATATTTGAAAATAGACCTTTGGGAAGGAGTTTTTAAAGAGACAGACCACACGTGTCATGGGAAATCTCAGCTGGGCAGAGTGAAAATCCAGGGGAGTGCTTGGGAAGAGAACTGCACRTGTGTGTGTTCTGTGCCTGCTCTACCCTGGGCATCCACGCGCAGTCACCRTGCAGAGAGGGCGCTGTGAAAGGCAGTCCCCTGATCTACACCCGCATGGCCACTGCTATACCTGTCCTAAGGTAGACGTTGAATTTTGTCTCTTCTAATTTCCTACTGCAGCTTTCCAGTAAGTAATTTTGTCCGCTTTGCTCTACCTCCCATGTGTCCCTACAGCTTTTCCATTTTAACTCCAAAGCTAGAGCCTCCTGCTGCAAAATCAGGACAGTTACATTTTTAGTAGTTGAGCGAGGTCGTGCTAGGTTTTGCTAGTAATAAATAAAACATTATGCTAGAAGAAAGAATTGGTCAAGTGTTTAAAATGCTAGGATACTTGCATGGGTAGAACTTTAATGTCATTAAAGGCCATTGAGTCATCTTGCAGTGATGGCTCTAATGCAAGTGGAACAGTATAAAGTATGTACAGGATAGCAAAGACCGGATAGTATTTTTTTTCCACACAGATCAGACCTAGATCCTCTTTCAACGCAAGGAGGAACCTAGTCATGTCTAAAGTACCCCAGTATTAAAAGAAAGACGCATCACATCCAGCCCCTCTGATGTGTGCTGTGCAAGAGACAACAGGTGAAATTATACTGTGCTACAGCAAGGCAAACATGGTAACCAAGTCAAGAAGTGTAGACACAGGGTGTCCTTACGAGACCTCCCAGAAGACAACCTTTTTGGTTTTTGGGGGGATCTTGTTTTGTTTGTTTGGTCAGGGTTAGTAGTGGATACAAGTACCATAAAGAATGGTAGCTTTGAAGCTAATGTCTACAGGCAGACTGGGCACCAGTCCTGGGGAGTGTGTTCTGGGAGCCTCATGCCCACTATCCTGAGGGATTAGGCTTCTGTCTTTGGAGTCCTAAATGTAGCATTCATGCAGACATGACAAAGTCATCTAGCTTTGCAGTGCCTTGGACTGCAGCTCTTAGATTGCTGGGGACCTCCTCAGGATGGCTGCAGTAAGAAAAGTGTAGAGTTGGTTTGGTGTCATTTAATTTATTTTTAATTGTTAACAGATTACAGATTAAAAAAAAAAAGTCATTTTATGATTTCTTCTGAATAAAAGTGAACAGTTTAGAAAAATGTAAAGTCCATTTCTTCTCACCAGCCTAAGAACTTCCCTCAAGTCAGGTACAGTGGGGTAGTATAGCTATAACTGCAGTAGAGTTTTTCAAGTAACTAAAGGAAATAGTAAAGTTTATGTCAGGAATGAAGAACTGGGTTATGACCATCTTCTGGGAAGCAAACGTAGTAGTTTAATTTTAAAGCAACAGGATAAAATAAGCAAAATAATTTTGAAAGTCCCAGCTCGTGCTTTAGTCGTGATTGCCAGCATGTCTAGAACTATTGATAGTGCTGCTGTGTGTTGCCTATCTGCATATGTAGGGTGAGTATCCTCTGAGGTGGCCTTCACGGTGCCTTCAGACSTGAGTAGCACTGCTAAAACCACAAGTTCTCGCTCCAGTGCTGGTAATTTCCCTATTTTGTGCATATTCTGTCCCAGAACTGCAGTGCTTCATGGATTCTATTGCCTTCTGCTAAGGATAAGATTACCAATTTGAGATGCCCTATGAAAAGACTGAGGAGTGTTGCAAATAAATGGCCCTGATGGAAATTTGCCAGCAGCACACACAAGCGTGGAGGTTTAGAAATGCCTACAGTTGGTTATCAGCAGAGGAAGGGTAGGGATCAATTAAGTGTCAGCTATAACTGACAGTGTAATTCCTGACAGCTGTGATTTACTGACTGATATTCCAAAACTGGGGGGGGGGGGGAAGTCTGCACATTTCCTAAACTATTTGTTCAAAGGCCTCTTTTGTCCCCTTCTGCCCTTGTGCCAGGGCTCTGACGGGGGACAGGCCTTACTGACCCCAGCCAGCTGGGCAAGGCCCCTCCACTCTTGCCCAAGAGCCCAATTTCAGCTCGGCCTTGGGCCCCTAGTCCCTGCCGAGCCATCTGGACCACCTCATCCCAGATTCCTGTCTTTCTCAATGCTAGAGCTATTCCATGGCTGTTCAGGGAAGTGACTTGCCACTGCCACCTGGCTGGTGAGTCCATCCGCAGCCTTCTCCCAGGGCTTCCTTTCCTATTTCCTTTTACCTACCTCATGCCTTTGGATCTGTGCACTACAGCATGGTGGAGGGGCTGTTGGTGTTTTACAGGCTCACCACATGTGTGTCACCTGGAGGTCAGAGATGGAATTACTAGATGTGACTCTCTGAGCAGTTTCATGCCTAGATGTCCCTTCACACACCTCACCTGACAGATCTGCTACTAAGGTTGCTAATAGGACAGGGCAAATGGTTCTGGGTCTGGCCAGGAAAACTAAACAAAAGAAACTTGCCCCTTCCATCACACAAGGAAGGACCTCCCAAGTAGGGAAAAGCCTTCCTATTCATCCTCTTCCTGGGGAAGGGCATTTCTCTGCCACAGAGCTGGCAGCAGTGTTAGGTGCTCCAGGGTGCCCAGGGGAGTGCAACGGGAGGGTCTCATATGAGTCTGGGGCCTCATATGAGTCTGGGGTTTACTTCATCCTCCTGCCTGGGCTCAGCGTTTCTCCTCTGGAAACTTAACCAAAAAAAAAAAAAAAAAAAATTATTTTCATTTTAGGGCATTTAACTTTTCCACCTCCTAAGTAAAAAAGCTGTGGCAAGTGCAGTCATCAAAGCATTCAACAGCCTGCATGCTGCAGCCACCACTGCATACGCTCCCTTCAGTAACTAGAGACAACAGCAGGACTAAAATATCCTGTCTTGTTGAACTTAAATGTTCATTTCTTCTCATTTGGCAGTGAGTCCAGTTGGAGGCCTGTGGTCAGTGGTGTCCCCCAGCAGTCAGTACTGGGCCCAGGGACAGTGACTGAGGGACAGGAGCATCTATCTTACAAGGAAAGAGTAAGTGAGCTGGGCCTGTTAGCCTGGAGAAGATTGAGAGGGGATCTTATCAATATGTATTGATACATACCTGAGGGGAGAAAGTAAAGAAGATGGGGCCAAACTCTTCTTGGTGGTGGCCAGTGACAGTACAAGGGGTTATGAGTGTAAGTAAGTTGAAACACAGGCAGTTTCATCTGCATGTGTGGAAGAACTTCTTTACTATGAGGGTGACAGAGCCCTGGCACAGGCTGCCCAGGGAGGCTGTGGAGTCTCCTTCTCTGGAGGTCTTCAAAACCCGCCTGGACGCAGCCCCGTGCCACATTCTCCGGATGTCCCTGCTAGAGCAGGGGGGTTGGACTAGATGATCTCTGGAGGTCTCTTCCAACCTAAACCACTCTGTGATTCTGTGATTCACCAAGGACTCACAAAAGGAGGCTGGAGATGAAGGTATGACCTTTGCTTGCCCACCTCTGGCCCTCTGGATGTCTCTTTTCTAAGAGCGGAGGCAGCAGGGAACACAGGGAAGACACAGTGCTCACCCTAGCCTCACTGGGAAGCACTGGGTTGAGGCACATAACAGCTTTTTGAGGGAAATGTAGCCCCTGAAAAGCTTAGCAGGTCCCACTTCTGCACCAGCTGCCCGAGCTGGGTKGTTTTCGTAGCTCTTACCAGCAGCAGAGGGGCACTGTGGTATAATGGAGCAAGGCGTGGGAGCTGTGCAGAGCAGCATGCACACAAGCACATTCCCACGGGCTTCCATGTGCTGGTAAAGGGCAGCCGGGGCCTCACGTGCTCCGGGGGAGCAGGTTTCCTGTGGCAGGTCGCCGGTTCTCCTGCCCCGTGCGTGCAGGGACACATCCGCAGCRCAGGCCCAGCGCCGACAGCACAGGAGCTGGTAGCAGCATCCAGAGCGGGGGGAAAGGACAGAGTCATCAGGGAATTCTGGTAGTGCTGACTGCCTCGGGCTGGATGTTCTCCCCTACCCCAGTGCCTGCACAAAACAAGCCTGTCTCAAGCCTGCTGATGCCCAAACTGCCTCAGGATCAAAGGTTTCCCCGACTGAACTCAGCTCTCTGCTAGTCACATCAAGGCCAAGTTATCAAGGCCAGGCAAAAAGAAGCACCAGTCTGGAAGGACTTGGACTGCAGTGTCTCCTTGGGGTTGTTTTCTTCCTCACATTCAGCTGACACAGCAGCAGCCGCAGGGAGGAGCAAAGCACGAGGGCTCCATGGGCCTCAAAACCGAAACAGAAACCGGAGAAACCAGGGCTAGATAACTGGGACAACAACCAGAGCTGCCTTTGCTACGTGCCGAGGCAGACACTGCCACCAGCTCGCCAGGGCTGACCTCGAGGCTCCGCGGTGTTTGGGCTTTGGAAGCAGCACCCAGCGCSATGGCCACCCTGTGAGTACCCCCTCCGGCCCGGTCTCCCACCTTTCCATCTCGCTGTGCCTGGGAGGAGGTGGCCCCAGAGGCAGCAGAGGGCAGGGAGGGCGCAGGACCTTCCCCAGCCGCAGAGCAATCCCACATGGCCCCGGCCGCCTGCTCCTGGCCGCCTGCCTTTCGCCGCCAAACGCCAGCTTGTTAGTGACCCTGTGTCCCCTGAGACTGTCCCGCAGCCGGCGAGGGAGCGGATCCTGCCAGAGGAGGGGAGATTTAACCCAAGGGTCCTGGCAAGAGGTGAGTTGGGCTGACGGAGAGGTTAAATGTCCAGAGCTACCTCCCTTTCGCACTGCTCCTGCATGGCATTAACATCGCCCTTTCCCACTGCTCCTGCACGGCATTAACCTTCGCAGCCGCTGCGGAGGGAGGGAATGCGGGAAATGCAAGTTTTCTGGTAGCTTTTCAGTAAGAGGGAATCAGCCCRTGCCCTTGCCGCGGGGTGCGCAGCCTGTCTGCTGCGAGGGGGTCACGCGCCTCCGCACGGCTGTTTATTCCTGCGGGTGACCTTTGGGGCCAGCCCCAGCCCTCGCCGCCCCGCRGCTGGATCCCTTTGCCAGGGCTCTCTGTTGGCTTCCCGGCCCACGCTGCCCTTGAGCCTGTGCCCAGCCGGTGGCACAGCTCCAGTGCCCCGGTGGGATGTGTGCCTGGCGCCTTGCTGTGCTCTGGACACTCAGGCATGGGCTCCCATGGGGATGGCCCGTGTTTCCCACGATGCCTGCCCTAAAACGAGGAGAGCGGGGCCAGGCTGCGCTCGCTGCGCTGGGCTCGGRCTGCTCGGAGCTGGAGCTGCAGCCTCTCCTGCCCAAGGGCACAGGCGGCTCCTGTGAGGCAGGGGGGCTGCTGATGCCTGGGAAAGGCCCCAGCTGCACGCCGGCTGGCAGCTCTTCCTGTTTATCCCGTGCTTCCCAGCCAGGCTGCCTCCGAACAGCGCTCCGAATCACGCCACCAAGTTCCCGACGCTGCTTTGCTGGCAGGGGGCCAGTTCTGGACGCTCGCAGCCAAGCGGTGACGCAGCCTCCAGCCGCTCGCCGGCCCCAGCCAGTACCCGCCACTGGCACCTGCAGCTTTCTGTCCCTGTCCCAGTTCGGACTGCGCGCATACTGGGCTGGGCACGGTGCAGGAAACCAAGAGGCAAATGTGCAGTGCCCCARAGCACAGGCTCTGCTGGCAAAGAGGGTGCATCTGTGCAGGGTGGGGGCTCCGAGGAGAGGAAGAGGCAGAGAAACCCTGGGATTTCTGTGGGGGCCTCGTAAATGCAGAGGTATCACAGCCCTTCTGTCAACTCAGGGTGTCTTAAGGCGTCTCTCCTCTACCTCTGTGACATACTTCCATAGACCTTCCAGGAATTTAATTCTCCCTTTTCCTTTCTGGCAAACATGTGAAAAAAGGAGAACAACTAATTGATTTTGTGTCGGGGCCAAGTGATTAAGAAGGCAACCAGAGTGATTGAACAAAAGCCTTGGTTTGTATAAACTTTCTCCTTCCAAAGTCAGGCTGGAGCTTCGTGACTGGATGGTCAGCAGGGACTGAGAGCTGGTCATAGCTTTGAGTCTGGGGGTAATCACTGCAGACCTGGTGAGCTAATCAAGGGCACTCTCAAAGTGCTTCTAGGACTCCTTGCGAGAGCTGCAAGGCAGGATGCCAACGGGTGAGTGGGGCACGATCCCTTGTAGGGGTGGGGAGAGGAAAGGTAGCAATGACTGTCTGCAGGAGACAGGGTGTAAAGACAGACAAAGCAAGGGGAGATGACAGGAGCAAGAGGTCTGAGCAACCCTAATCAAACTACTTCCACATACGAGAGGCCCCATTCTGCAGTAAGGCTCAGACACTGCTAGTGACATTCCCTGGTCTACTTGTATGCTTATGACAGGTTTAGAGCAATGGACATCCACCGTGGGGCCTTCAGACCTTTCCAGAAGCATGTTGTGAAGAAGCCCTCCAAGGGAGGTGCTAAGAAGTGAGGTAATGCTACTGAATGGGGACAGATTGGTGCCTGGATGCTGGGACCCTCACCTGCTTCTCCTAGCTATGTTAGTGTGGGGATGAGGAGATTTGGGGCAGAGGGGCTTTAGCCCTATGCATGTTAAACCTAGGCAGCGATCTCTAGCATCCAGGGAAGTGGGAGTGAGAGAGAGATGATGAAGGGACCAGCTACTAGCACTACAGCCAGGTGCTGCTTGCAGATGTGAGCGGGGTCTCTCCTGGCACTCCAAGTCTGTAACCAAACGCACAAGCAGTTGTGGGGCAGGAATGCAAGCAGTATAGTGTGGGATGATATACCATGGGGAGCGGCCAGTGGAGTGGAGCTAGTGGGGCTATCATTTGGCCAGTRACAGGACAAGAGGTAATGGGTGTAAGTTGAAACACAGGCAGTTCCATCTGCATGTGAGGAAGAACTTCTTCACTGTGAGGGTAACAGAACTCTGGAACAGGCTGCCCAGGGAGGCTGTGGAGTCTCCTCTGGAGGTCTTCAAAACCTTCCTGGATGCCACCCTGTGCCACGTGCTGTGGGTGTCTCTGCTGGAGCCGGGGGTTGGACTAGATGATCTCTAGAGGTCCAGTCCAACTTCAACTATTCTGTGATTCTGTGTGATTGTGTACTGGTAAAACATACACAGGAGATGCGGCTTCGTAGATGAACAAGGGGCAGAGAGCGCCCCAGGGCAAAGTCTCTAAGCGACTTGTTGCCGTGCAGACTGGGATGGCCAGCTGCTGATGCCATGGTGCTCTGCAGCCAGTGTCCCAATTCCACATCCCTGTTTTTCAGCTTGARGCAGAAGGCTGCAGGAGCACTGCTGCAGACAAGCCACGTGTCCAAGTGAGAAGCAAGGAGCCAGTTTTGCCAAGCAGCCAGAGGAGCGGGCAGCAGGGTGGCTCCAGGCCCATCTGACCCCACAGCACCTCAGTCTCCCTGGGGCTGGGCCCTCAAGAGGAAGGTGAGTAGATCCAAGGGACCCTTTGTGGTGGCAGGAACCACTGGTGGCTCTGCATGGGGGTGACCAGCCATGCCACGTCCAGCTAGGGCACCAGTGGCACTGGGCGTCCCAGGACAGCATTCTGACCTGTGCATGCCTGTATTTTAACCACTTGTCCGAAGATCACAAGGGATGTCCTTGTTGAACCAGACATGAAAAACAAACATTTTCCCGGCATAGTTCTTAACCCTGTCCTTACCAGACAGCAGTATTGTTTTTCTCTCCCTGCCCTCACTAGGCAGAGACCAGTTTGCTGCTGCATCTGCCTTGGCCCTTGTGACACTGTGGCACRTGCAGGGTGTGTTTGAGCCTTCTGCTGTCCCACACTGCGGGGCACTCAACCACGCTGCCAGGATGGCTTTAACAGAGGCATGTTCTGGTCTGAGCCTTCCCTCCRGAGCCCGGGCTCCCTGACAAAATGGGATGAGGTGAGCACTGGCCATGGCAGGGCCTTTTGCTCCAGGAGGCCACAAGCGGCTGGCTGAGTGCAGGAAGGATAATGCTCAGAGACCTCTCCCTCCCCTGCCCAAGCCACTGGCCAGGAGCTACAGAAATGGCTCTGGCTTCAGGTGGGCGCCCTTGGCCTACGGTCAGGAAAGAGGCACTCCCATTCCGTGTGCAGGGGGAGTCACAGATGCAGAAGGCACCTTAGCATATGTGCAATAACCATTCCCCCCACTCCTGTCTTGCAGCTGCTGCCCTCACAGGAGACTTCACAGTAGTGGAGAGAGACAGAGAGGACATGAACAAGAGAATGGGGCTGCTACAGCAGAGGCGTATGGGGCACCTGCTCTGCACATTGATCCTCCTGCAAGCTGCAGGGGTCTTGGTCTTGATGTTTTATGCGCTACTGTGGGAAGCCGGGAATGTGGTCAGTCTCCCTGAAAAGCGTATCGGCTTTTACAACTTCTGCCTATGGAACGAGACAGCGGGGGAGCTGCAGTGCCTGCAGTACAGGCATCTGCAGGTGATGGGCATCAGCCTACCAGGAATAGTCCTAGCCAGGGTTTGTGTGTACTCTTGCCTCGTCTTCGGCATCTTCTACCCCCTTTTTGTTGCACATGTGAACTGCATGGAAGACACAGAGGGCTGGAAGGTGATCCTCATCATACTTGTCGTCAAGCTGATGATATTGTCCGGAGGCCTGGGTACCTTCCTCTTCCAGACCTCACGTTGGATTCACCTCTTTGAATTCACTGGGGGCTTCCTGGCACTGCTTGGGGCTCAGACTCTGCTGCTGCTCCAGATATTCACTGCCACTATGTATCTTAGGTGGGCCCAGCCTAAGTACCCATGTCAGAGCCCTTTCCCTTTTGAGATTTGAAAGTGGAGAAGTTGCAAAAGCTAAGAATTGCCTGATTTAGAATAATATTAGCACTACACCTTTTATAACTGTCAGGGATTTATCTCTAGTCCAAGTGCTCATGTCCAACCATGCTCCAACACAGAGCTGTGATTGCGGGGCTGGCGCTGGCAGCAATCGTGCAGCAAACGGGCAGCAGGCACCAACAGCCACAGGGCAGTGTGGAAGCTTCCCGGGAATGGCAGCACATAACACACCGCAGCCTGGAGCTTGGCACCACCACGACACTGGCCACGACCCTGAGGACAGCAAAGGAGACAGATCAGACCCACCACAAGGCAGATATTTCAGTCAGGCCATGTCTGGCCTAGTGTAGGCAGCCAGAGAAGCAGAACGGGCTTGCTTTCCTGGAGCTTTCCCAAGACGCTCAGCTGCTTCTCTGCCTCCTGGATAACCAGGGGACTTGTTTATTTGGGTGAGGTGGCTCTTGTCCAAATCYAGCAGCAACATGTCCCTTGAAGGGCATTTTAATCATTTGCTGAACACAGCCATGATGAAGATGGCTTCCCAGAGGAAGAACTGGATTTTGGGGCAGACCCCCAGGCCCTCATTGACACTATGGAACTGAGCCCAGCACTCCAGCAGCATCAGAGACTCTTAGCAGAGACCCGTCCTGGGTGGAAGCAGCCGCCTGCCGAGCTGTTTGCAACCTCCTATGAAGCAGTCCTGGCTTTCAGCTGTGTCCTTTCTGGGCACACGAGGGCCCATCTTTTCATCTCTCCTTCCATAGGATCTTGGTGGGAACACAGCTGTGGCAGTGGTTTGATTGATTCCTCGTGTCAATACTCYACTATTCTTCATACCTGCTCAAGCYGTGTGTGTTGTGTTCATTGCTCCTTTCCAGGCTGTGCTTGCCTTGTGCTCTCAAGCCTACCCCAGRCTCCCAATACACCCTGCAGTGGGGCAGCCCCAGCTGCCTCACGATGGTCTGTGTCCCCCACCCACCTGCTCCCACCAACACATCCAGCTGAGGGGGGGCTCTCCCAGGCTGGGGGCAAATTCATCACCAGGACTCCCAGACCCAGGCTGCAAGGCAGCCACCGAGAAGGGACAGCAAAGGCAAGTGAGCTCCAGGACCGGCCTGTAATGGCACCAGGGAGGGTAAGGGCACCCCCCCAAGACAACAGCCTCAGGGTCCCAGTGTTTAGGCAGAACCACAACCATCCAGCTCTGGAGACCAAGGCCAGGGAGTCCCTGCTCCTTCCCTGTCCCAACATCTGCCTGGTAAAGGGACATTCACAGGCAAAAGTCTCTGTAACCTCCTTTAATCTGATCGTGGGCTGAGGTGTCAGGCACAAGTGAATACACCCTTCCCTGGGGCAAAACCCAACTGGTCCCAGCACATGCTGCCAGGAGGGAGCTCTCTCTGGCCCTGGCCAGTGCCAGCCTTCTCCCTGCACTGTGGTGAGAGACCACCAGCCATGGCCAAAGTGTGGCCACCCCAAGGCCTCACCCTCGCTGTCCATGCCACCTGCGGACAYGAGGAAGAGAGGCCTCAGCTGAAGAAGATCTCCCTGACGTATTTCAGAGCATCGTCCTCCGAGTCCACCGTCTCTGCACCGGGGTCCGGAGAGGACGGCTGAGGTGGATGGCRCCCGCTGCCCTCCTCCGTGCTGGCTGGGCTGCTGGCGGGGCTGCTCGGCACTGGCGGGTGCTCCTKCTCCTCCTCGCTTGCAGACCAGGTCTTTGCCTGCGCTTCCTCGCGTTGCAGCTTCTGGGCAAGGGGAGACAAGCCAGACCCTGCTGCCATCACCCCCGCTCCCAGGGGCTGCCATGAGGCGGGTGCTCGGGGAGCAGAGCCCCTGGAGAGGCGCCAGGGCCGCCACGCTGTGCCCGCGGGGCTCACCTCGGCCAGCACTCCCAGCGCCACGTCCACCAGCTCCGCCTCGGTCATGCAGTGCACGGTYGCTGCCCTGGCGAGCAAGGGGGGACGCTCAGTTGAGGGCCCGGCCGCCGCGGCCCCGGGCGCGGATGACAGGGATTACCTGGYCGCCACCTGCCCCTGCCGCCGGCGCCGTGGGGCTGCGCTGGGGGGAGGCCCGGCCGGTGCGGCGCGCTGCTCCGCCGCCACCATCCAGGCAGGCAGCAGCCTCTGCCRCCCGCCTGCCGCCATCTTGTGCACGGCACCGGAGCGGGCGGCGTCTCTGCTGGGCTCCGGGCGCCCGCTCCGCTCCGCAGGGGTCATGGCCGCTTCCAGGGTGCCGGCGCTCACTGGCTCCGTGGGGAGAAGCGCCCTCACCTGCCCCTTGGCTCCCCTGTGCTGCCGCCCGGGGCCTCTGCACATCTCGGGAAAGAGCCCGGCCCCATTTCCTCTGTCACCCCCTTGCGAGAGCTGGGAGCAGCTCGCCCTCTCCCCCAGCCTTATCTTGGCGACTAGACCCACGTGCGTCACTTCTCACGCTATTTCCTCCTTGAGGAGGACRTCACGTGTGGGGGAAGAGCTTTACTTAGGGATTCCCATCTGAACCAAGAGGGCTTCCCTGGTTGCAGGCACTTCTTTAGGGCTGCCACTGCCAGGGACTATTTCTGCAGGCACCAGCAGCCCTTTTCCCAGCTCTTTTCCCAGCCAAGCTGCTGGAGTAGCAAAAGAAAGGCGCAGAATAAGAGCTGACACTTAAGCAGATGGAGCTGGGGTACTTGGTCAGTGAGGGATCTGTCGCACTGCCCCAGTCTGTCCTGCTGAGCAGACGCTGCAGTCAAAGGCTGCCTCTGTATTAGCAGTAGGCTCAGCCTCCAGGGAACCACAGTGGGACGATAAGACAGTTTTAACTGTGCTGCAGCCTGATCTTGCATACATCCCGTCACGAGGTCAGGACCAGCGGGCAGTTGGCAGTACGTGAAACTTTGCCACATATTTGAAGATTTCGAAACCAGCTGTCAGCAAATGCATCCATAGCCAGTTCAACCATGCTGTACTTGAAAGGCTCTCCCTTTGACATCAAATGAAATGAGTGTTTTGTTCTACCAAGTCAGCAAGTGTGCCATAAATGGCACATTTCCAAAGGCAGATCTTGGCTTCTCTCTTGACAACCACCCTGCTGTTTTTATGAGAAACCTCAGACAAGAACATACCCAAGGACGTAATTTTTGCTGCTGTTGCTGGTACATCATGAGAGAGCTCATCATCAATCATGATATGGACAAAACACCAAATGATGCTTGAAGACAAAGACAAGGACCACCCACCTCCACCTTATCTTCCAGGAACCAGCTGAAAATGAACAATCAGGCTAAAAAAGGGCTGCTCCCTGAGCCAAAATGAGACCATATATGGAAGCAAGTTACCAGAGTTCATCAAAAAGACCACAAAAGACAACCATCGGGGATCTGATGATCATGCATGCATGAGGACAGGGTATATTGTAATTATTGCTGGGAAATAGAAGGGCTGTGCAGTTAACAGAGAAATATAAGCTTTGATTACCACAGCTCATGTCATGCAGGATAGGAGGGCCTGTCCCCCATGCATCCAGTGCCATCATAAAGAAAATGCCTACTTCTTAAGGCATTGGCATTAAGAGGTTTATTCCCATTTTCATTGACACTGTTGCTCGCTGAAGGGAGAAGATTGAAGATCTACCTCCATTTTAGTTTCTGTTTTGGCTTCTGAAATAGGTAATATTTAAAAGGAACAATAGCAACTCTGTCAGGCTGATACAATCTCATGATGCAGTGCTCCAAAGGAAATGGAAGGCAGGGTAGGAACAGACCTTTAAATACTACAGCGGTCACGTACATCCCTGTCTTCCACTTGAGCAGCTTCTTCAGCACATCAGCATCAAGAGAATCTGCAAAAAGGAGCAAACCAGCAGAAGTAGGTGCCTCCGTTTTCACAGATTTTCTCCATTAGACTCATCTCTCAACAACCTGACAGCCACCTGTAAGTGTCTCCCTTGGGATTTTCTTCGGAGGCTTCTCAGCCTTTAATTCTTCCTTTGCTCTATCTTACCTTCCCTGCTGCTCGCATAAGGAGTATCACACACAGGGAAGGAGTTGGGAGATATGCATGTATTCTGCAGGTTGTTGTCTGTTTGCTGTCCTGGGCAGGCTGTTTGCCCCTATGCTCTTTCACTTCACGTTTGGCAGCAGCAGTTCAGTTGCTGGGTCTGGATGTCTGTGCAAGAAAAAGTAACAGAATGAAGTCTGGGAATGCAGTTTCTTTTCCTGAGAGAATTCACTAGAACAAGTTTGCAGGAGTTGGATGAAAACAAAGATGAACATCTGCTACTTCTGCTTTTGTTCTTTGCAATGCACAAGTTTCTATCTCAAGCCATTAGGGCAGGAAGGGAGATGGAGAATCTGTAATGGGGTTACATAATCTCCCTACTTGAGCAAAGCTGAAGTTCCCATGGCTGGCCTGATCCTAACCTTACTATCAAGGTAAGTTCTTCCTGCCTTCCTGGAAATGGAAAAGCCTAGAGGAAGAGATAACACAGTGAAGAACAGACAGAGATTGAAAGCAGTGTGAAAGGGAAAGTGACTGACAGTGGAGGGCTTAAGCAACAGATCAGGAGAATCCTGGAGAGGGTCACCAGGAAGAACAACCCTAACAGTGCTCACTACCACCAAAACATGCCCAGGGAGCTGGTAGAGTGGCTGCAGAGGGATGTCTAGGGATGAAAGGTTGACTCAAAGGTTGACCCTACTTGAACACATGGCAGCCCCCTCCTCCAGGAGTTCCACTCCTGTCACCATGGTGAGTTCAGAGCACAATACCTCCAATACCTTCAGATCACTTCAGGCACCCTGTGTGAGGAAAAACTATGTGGAAAACCATGGGAAAGTGTCATACATGTCCCCCAGGACAGAGTAGGGGTGCACCTGATGTCATGGCAGGGTCAGGCTCTTCCTGCATACTGTCTGGATGGAGGAGAGGAGCCAGCGTCCCCATAGGGTCTCTCTAGGGGAATACGGCCTGGCAGGGTCACCAAAGTCACCAGCACTGCAGCCAGAGCCAGGGGTTGCCCACTGTCTAGTGGGTTGCAACAGCAGGGCTGGATTAAGTCAATCAAGGTAGAAAGGTGCCACGGGAAGGGGCATAGACGGCATGGAGCAATGTGGAGCTCACACAGAGTACACCCCAGCAATGACATCTCCCGCTCCACCTCTCCCCCCAGGCAGCTTTGAACGAGGAGGCAGCATGGGCAAAGCAAGGGGTGCTGTGCAGCAGAGACCTGCAGATGGATGGCTTGGCACAACAATGCTCCTCAAGTCTGTGTTATCCTTCATCCTCATGTTTTATGCCCTTTTCTGGGAAGCTGGCAACCTCGTTGATCTTCCTGAAAAACGACTCGGTTTCTACAATTTCTGCCTGTGGAATGAAGCCATTCAAAAGCTACAGTGTCTGGCATACACTGATCTGGAAGGCATTGCCATCAACACAAAAGTAATAGAGTTAGCTATTTTTTGTGTATATTCACCTGTAGTATTCACCCTGTTCTATGTTATTTTCATCTTATTTAATAAGTACAGTCTTGAAAGGCCGCACAGGAGAGCTGTTTGGATCACACCGTTCTTCAGTGCAGCCCTGCTTCTTGTTGGTCTTCTCTTGTTTTTGTCCCAAATCTGGAACTGGATTTCTGTCTCTGACCTGAGCTGTGCCTTTCTAGCACTAGTTTTCTCCCTGATCCTTCAGGCTCTCACTGCCTTTAGGTGCTGCACGTTGGACACACACAAGAACTGAAAGCAGACAGGATGCTGTCCCTTGCTTTGCTGAATTTGAAAATTGAATAATCCCACTATTGCTTTGGGGCAAGAACTTGACCTGCAGGATGAGTGACTCCTGTGCAGCTGTGCTCACACACCACAGGCCATGCCTAGGCCCTCAGCCAGGCTGCCAGCTGGGCTCCTGCAGGAACAAGAGGTGAAGGAAGGGCCTTCAGGCAGCAGGGACAGTGCCGTGCCACATCCTTGACTCCGTCTGAGTGAGGCAGCATTGGCTCTCCACCCTTCCCCTCTAGGCACACTTCTTATCTCGTTCCTCAGAGTCCTGGTGGTGATGCTGGTTTGACTGAGTCCTCGTTCCTGCATGCTGCTCTAGTCTCAAACAGTCTGCTCATTACCTGCTCCAGCCAGGGAGATGCTGGGATTTTTCCTGGAGACCTCATCCTTTTTTCAGGCTCCCATACACCTGCAGCAGGGGCAGGCCAGGGTCTGCTCCCAGTGCCACAGAAGGGGACACTCCCTGCATGGCCCCCATACCGCTAGGCCACCAGGGAAGTGAGGCTTCATCTGAGAACAAGCTCCCTGGCCCCTTCTTTCCCCAAGGCTCAGGGGTGTCTCTAAGGGGCTCCCACCTCCAGAGCAGGCCACTTCTCCCTCCTTTTGTGAATTTGTGGTCAGAAGTAGCCACCCCTGCCCTGAACAACTTCATCCCAGTCTGTCTGGGCAACATAGACCTGTCCTGCTTAGTATCATGCCAAGGCTGTAGGAGATGTCCCAGACCCAGCTGGGGTCATGCTGTGGGTGTCCTCAGCCCTCCCATGATGGTCGCTCCTCCTCAGCCTGGCCTCCCTGTAAACAACACAGACACCAACTAAGACCCATTCAGTGTGTGAATTACCTGGGGCATGTTACCTTATGTTACCTGGGGTAACATAACTAAATTCAAAAATGAATTCCATTTTTGGTGGGATTGGGGAAATTTTAATTATGACTTCATCGACTTCATCAATAAGGCTAAAGCTTTTTTCTTAATGATATACAATGCTCTCATAGAAAACATATGCCCAACCATTGCCCTGGGATTAAATCACCAAAGAACTATACTCTGTCCCTCAGGACGAAGAGTATGGGTCCAGTAAAATGGAAAGAAATGGCAAACTCTTGATGCTGAGATAGGCACTGTATGGGAACAAGAAGGATTTATTTGTGAAAACAATACTGTCAAAGCCCAAGACATTTGCCCTGATGCTAAACAATTTGTCCTTTTGAAATACATCCTGATGAAACTTTTGAAATCATGGTTTTATATCTCAAAAAATGTATTTGTATGAGAAGTCTTTGCAATTTCATGTTTGTAGATAACTTTACTGTAGATGCGAGCAACTGCTCCAATGTGTTTGTAATTTTACTGGGATTATGGAATGCATCTTTAATTTACCAGCTTCTCTTACATCTTATCAATGATTACAATCTAATTATACATTAAATCAAGACTTACTGCCTACTCTCATTGTAATGAATCTTTACATTGGTGAAAAAAAWTGTGACGTGATGACCTGTTGTGAGCACAAGGCAGGTGAGAGAAGGTCAGATACTGGTGGAGAGACGCACTCAGAAGTTCATAAAACCTTAAATGGGATAAGTTTAATGAAGGAATTACCATACAGGCTGCTATGAGAACCTCAGRRGCCATGCAAGGAGGTCACAGGTGGGATGCTGCTGGCCACACAGGCCAACTTACARGTGGGACTCAACTTGTTGTTCCTAGGCAACCTTTAGATTTACAACAAGTGTTTCCTTATCTCAGCTGTGCTAACCTGGAATAGCTGCTGCACAGGGAGCAGCCAGATGTTGTCAACAAAATGGAGTACACATTCCTGGCCCTGCTGGGAATGTGGTCAGTGACAATGATTCATCATCATAGAGAAGAAACACATCGTGTTCTGGAAAGAGTGAAAAAAGAGAATTTCAAGAGGAAACTTTCTTGGTTGATCACTGGTAGCAATGAGGCTTTTTAATATGCTTCATGCAGTCATGATTTTGCTGATACTATTTTGTCTACCATTTATAATCATATTGTATATAAGGGTACATGATAAAAAAAAAAAAAACCAGGTTCAACTACTCAAAGTATATAAATTAGTACTTAAGTAACAGCAACACTTTATGCTAAAGCTGTGTGCTTGCCCTGGACCTGTAAGTGAATCAGTTATGAAGACACTATTTATAGCAGAGAAGCAAGAGGTGACGGTACCACCACTCTGTGAAGGATGGGCGGGATTGGCTCTAGTCTCAGGGTGGAGGGTGACGGTCTCGGGATATCAGGATAGCTCCTTTCTAAGCAGCCCAGCACACACAGTGATGGCCTCAGCCCAAGGGACTAATGCCACATGCCCTGGATCAGCCAGCTGGACCACGAGCCCCTCAGAAACCTGGCTGGAACTTCAGCCTCTATCCCAGCCCTCAGGGAGAGGGGTCCAGGCATCGTCCCTGTGCTCAGCCCAACCTTGGCTGCTGGGCACCAGCTTTGGCCTCGTMCCTCGTCCAGCCCCTGGCACTCAATGCAGATGAGAAGGCACAAGGAGAGCACGAGATSTTCCCCACCTCACAGCCCAGCAAGCAGCTAGAAGAGCCCCCCCCACCCCAACAGCAGCTCACGCCACAGGACAGCCCTCACCCCAGCACTGCTGCCCTCCACCCTATCCCCAAAGGCCACAGACATCCAGCTGGGCCCCAAGGTTGAAGCCTAGGGCATCACCCCCGCACGTGCCCTCCGTGGGATGTATCTGTCACCCACAGSCACAGCACTCCCCAGCCACGGCCCTCAGGGAGGCATCACCTAAGGGAGGAGGTGGGGAGAAGAGGATGTAATCAAAGCCAAAGACCCATTTGTTGTTTAGACTAAGCTAGGCGGTAAGATCCCAAGAACTCATTCCAACTCTTTTGCCTTTTTCACAATAGGGCATAAGTGAGAAGGAGATTGGTGTTCCTATGGCCAGTTTTCCTAGAAAAAGCTGCCCTGTTCCAAGCAGCTGGATGCTGGGAACTCCCTCTGCCGCCTCCTTCAGCTTCCCTGCATAATCCCCTTCAAAATGTTACAAAGACAGGGGCTTTGTACCAGTCCCATGAAACTGTCTGCTCCATTCTTGAGCTGTTCCTGAGCTTCCCAGGGCATCCAGTCCACAGCACATCTCAGCTGTGGACTTCGTCCAACACACTGACCAAGCTTTCACCCTGAGGAGCTCAGTGTTTTCCGGGATAAGTTTCCTTATGTTTATATTTCCTTCCTGCCACACCTACCTCAAAACTAAGCTAAAGACCTTCCACCATTCCTTCCTCCAGYTACAAGGAAACAGTCCACATGAAAAAGCTACCACTGTTGCCTGGACAAAGGGCTGAGACCTGCCCACAGTCCTGTCCCTCCATCCCCAATGATCCTGAAGTGAGATTATTTACTAAAGACCCTCCCCACCTTGTACCTGGATTTGACAGGGTCGTGACACAGGAACAACTCAGCCCAGCCTAAATAAATGTGACTTTAAAATACATACATACCGTAACATTAAAGTCTTGCACTTTGGCCTCACRAGGCCCTGCCTCTGCGAAGCATCAGTGTCACTAGCTCACTGGGAGGCTGCTCTGGGTGCATGAAGGAGACTCTGTGTTTCATTTCCAACACAGCCTGAATCTCTCCTTGGATTAACAGCAGTTCGAACAGGCCCTTTGCTCCAGGCTGGGTTGATCTCCAACACAAAACAGACACCTAGTGGCTGGCTGGCCCCTCAACTTTAAGGGGAGCTCAGAGACCCTATGGGACGCTGCAGACAGCTCCACTTCTGACTGATCCCACCCTGAACAACTYGTAGCGCTCAAAGATGATGAAGGAACTCCCCAAGAGGCTTTTATTTCTATTCACACCCACTGCCACCCCATGAAGATCTCATCTCTATTCCATGCACAAAGATGTTCTGATGAGAGGCAGAAATCTGCTGCACAAAGAACACCCAGAAGCAGTTCTGGCCTCCCATGCAAACCCTTCTTCTCCGTATCTCAACTGATATTCAATGTTGGTGGGATGGGAGAGCTATAGTTAGTGCCCCATACAGAACCAGACTGACCCTGACCCTCATCTCTCCTGTCTTTTCCATCATTAGGTGCCAGGGATTGTGCAGTGCTTCCAATCTAAAATATAAGCATTTGAAACAGTCTAGCTCAGGGTCCCTCTTCCAATTTATGGAAGATATTGCTAGGGAACATATAACATTCAACCAATACAGGTACRTTTGCTCCTGTAGGACTTGCACTTGTTCCTCCCAGTGGCGGTGCTCTCAGTACAGGAGGCATCTGGTGAAAACACCAAGGTCTTTTCTCCATGCAAGAGACCATTCTTGACATGCTGTCGTCTCAGCCACCAGCAACGGGAAAACAGAGCACAAGAATCAAAATGCAAGGGAATATTTTCTTTTTTTATATATGAAAGAAAACATTATACCCTAGGAATACTCTGTTTTTGCACAGGCCTTTTCAGCTTGACCCTTCTGTGCCCAAGCACGGCGCTGCCTCGTGCCTTCTTCCTCCATCCTTGCCTTCTCCCACACAGCCAGGGATTTGACCCCAGCCGCCTTCCAGCCACCTGCTACTTGAAGACTCCTTAGCAGAGGGAGCCCCCCRGCCACGAGGGCTCAGTGAAGGCTGCCTATTTTTCAGTGCTGCTGCTGAGCTGGTCCCAGAACAGCATTCTTCTGCACAGTGGTTTGGCATATACACTTAACACTTGTCAGAAGGCAAAAGCTTCCGGCCAAAAACAAGAAGGGTGATTGTAGTTTGCCTTCTCTCTCATGCARTTTGTTCCTGTTAACACTTTTTTCTTTTTTCCTCCAGTCTGCTGTTGTTTTTCTCCTGCACCTTCCAGGTTAAGACTTTTGAGCCAGTAAAGTTGTTAATTTAATCTTCCCATCCATCGAGGCGGTAAGACAGGTTCCACAGTCCATGGCCATACTCCAGTCCACTGTGACRACCGGAGCTCGGTGTCCTCCAAGGGAAAGGCAGCTCTCTAGGACTTTCTCTTCACCATTTAACTGAAATAAGAAAACGTAAGGGTTTAAGAAGGCAAGTTTCTGCCACAGAAGCCGTGTAGCAGTGTTCTACACAGAAACAGTATACCCATGTACCCACAGGAGAATCTAAAGCCTTTTACCATTCCATRCCTCAATAAGCATATATCAAGAAGTGGAAAAACAGATTTAGGCAGCATACACAAGGAAGGAAACTTTCAGTCTCAGGACAGAGGCACATGATCTCAAGCAGCTGACTCTCTTACATCAGCTGAACTGCAGTAATTGAACGTGGCAGGCAAAGAGCATTCAGTTGCAAAGAACACGCAAGTTTAAGCCACTGTTATGTTAGTGATGCTGCTTTGAATGCGCAGATATAAAGTAAAAATAATTCAATTTAAGCGACCTTTGAGGTCAATAAAGACTGCAGTAGCTTATATTGATGTGCACTGCCTCAAAGGGAGGCAGGCAAGGGGCATGCAGTCAGTGTCCATCTAGCACAGCAACAATAACTCAGTTATTTTCAACCATGCAACCTTACCCTTCATTTAATATCAGTGTTTTGTATAGAGGAAGAAGAAAAAACCAAGCCTGGCCCTAGCAAAGCACTGGCAGACAGATTAAAGATAAGCAGTCATCAACTGTACGTTTTGCACTGAGCTGGCATGAGTCAATACGAAAAATTCACAAATTCTTCCTAGCAGTAAGGAGTTGTGCTGTAACTAGGCTTTAGGAACAAGGGAACACTCAAGCTCTAGCTACACACAGCTAAAGTGCAAACAGGATCAAACTGGAGCTTCACAGTGCAGGACTCAGCAGGAGTTGTTTGGGAGCTTTCAATGGCTGCTATTGTTACAGGTGCTTGTATGGATCCATGGGAATATTCCCTGCCACTTCTGAGATTTACCTTAAAAATTACTCCCCCAGTAGAAGAACACGTGAGCATGTAGTTCCCTTCAGAGTCAAAAGCAAAAAGCCTTCCTCGTGGGAACTGGACTTGCTTGTATCCACTGTATCCGGACAGCACAAAGGGACCRGTAGCTTCGCTGGGAAGATCATATTCAGACACTTTCAAGCCACTTTTGTGAATATTCCACTGAATAAACTAGAAGGGCAGAAAAAGACATAAGCCTGTCATTAAGTTAACTGGACTAGAAGCAGAACAGCCCACTCGCATTTTAACAAAAGCGGTAATTTCCAACACAGGCAATATTGCATTTTTACATCTAAAGCTATGGGGCAATATTTTTAATACACAAGCTGCAAAGGTTGCAAGCATTCCTTATGTCCAGGAGGGAATATGCCTTCCACAAGTACTGCTCCTGTGTGTGTGCTGCCACGTTTTACAAGCAGGATCCTGTTGGGATTTCACTTAACTCTCTGCAGCCAAACGCTCTCCGTGAGCCACAGCTCTACTGCTGAGGACTGTTGAGCTGCAAAAATTGGACCATTTATTATAACTAATAGGAAGTTTCTGGCAATCAATCCTATCCAAAGGAATCAAGAATCTGCTCTGTGGTGAACCTCACATCTCAAACATGGTGATCCCATGGGCACAGAACACTCCTATTCACATGGGTTCTCTAGGAAGAGGATGTCACCCACAGAAGCATTTGCAGAAAAAGTCTCACTCATCCAATAGATTTCTGGCCACCTTCTCTGAAAGGACTGAATACATTGGGATGCATGATGGAATTAACAGCTCACAAGTTTTCCAGATTCTTATTTTTACCACCCATGGAAGGTCACGCAGTGCCTACCTTGCCATCCTCCCCTATGCTGTAGACGGTGTTCTCATCATAGCTGAATTCCACAGAGTAGACCTCCCCATCGTGGGCCTTCCAGCTCATGGCACACTCGTGCTGCTGCATATCTGAGGGGAGATGCAGAACTGAGCGCCCTCGTGCAGACACAGGGGAGGAGAAGGGTCGTTAGAGCTACCAGGGGCCCTGTCCCAGGCCATTAGAGCTGTTCAGGGCCCTATCCCAGTGCTGCACCCRGGGGAGCCCAGCTCAGTCTGAGCACCTCATGCCCGTTTTCCAATGTGTTTGCTCTGGTAACTGCACTGGCCACACAGCTAGTGCCTGTGAGCAAGCACCTCTCCTTCCAGCTTTACRCTGCCACTTCTGTGTCACGATAGCCCTTCTGCATCCAAGCCCCTTGGTCACCTTTCTTCTCCTCCCCTCTCTTTCCCTGCTATCCCCTCCCACCCATTTGAGACCGTGACCAGCTCAGCACAGGCAAAGGCAGCTCACTGGTTCACAGCAGAGAGGCCAGGGCTGCCTTTACCACAAGGACCAACTCAAGTGGATGGAAAATGCTTAGTAAAGGAGGACTGAACTGCAGCCCCTGCCTTCAAACTGGAGGGTGCCCCAGGAACACCCCTCTCCAAGGCTCAGCCGAGGGCAGTGGCGCTGCCCCAGTCAGCACCAGGGCAGTGGTACCGACCTACAAGGGTCGAGGCCACACGGCTCAAGGGCAGGTTCACTGAGCTCCTCACAACAGCAGGGCAACAAATTCAGCAGCTCTGTCAGAGCCTCCAGACAACACTCCCAAGGAAGGCTCGTGCCAGTTCACTCTTGGGAGCTCCTATGGAAGGGGGATGGGTGGAGCTAGCTCCCACCCTGGCGCTGGGGAACATCCCACAGCTGCCTCCCTGCCAGCAGAGSGAAGGTACTGGGGGGAGCCAGTGCAGGACCCCAAGAACCACCTCCGGCCCAACGTACCAAAGAGACGAACGATCCCATCCGCAGCCCCCGTGACCAGCAGGTTGCCGTTGTGGTTGAAGGCCGTGCAATTAATAGCAATAGGCTCAGGGTCCAGGGAAAATTGCAGCTGGAAGGGAAAGTCTCCATTAAYGTCTGGAAACCTCCGACTGCGCTGGGGTGCTGAGAAACGGAGCCCCGTGGGAGGGAAGAGAGACGTGGCCTAGTGACCAGAACTCCTCCCTGTCTGGAGCCCTGTCTGAGGCTGGGAGCTGCACTTCTTGTGAACTAAACCAGCAGTTCACCCCAGCCAGATCAGAGCTCCCTCAGAGGTGTCTGAAGGCTGAGAAACCCATTTCTGGCAGACATTAGCCTGAATTTTACACTTTCTCCTACAGGGGAGAAAAAAAAATGAGAAAACAAACAAAYAAACAAAAAAACCCTTCAGGACAAGGGCAAGGGATGGGACCGGTGTTCCCTGCCAGAATCCAAGTCATCTCACTGGAAACAATGGAGAAGAGGGATGATGACACACTAAGCCTCTGAGCAAAAYCTACTTATGATGACAAACTCTGAAGGCCGAAGACAAAGAAAGAACACGGACTAATTTGAAGAAACCCTAAACAAACGAAAATAAACAAACAAAAATAACAACAAAAAAGCCCCACATACCACAAAACCCAACAACTACTTCCCTTAATTTGGAAAGGGAGCTCCCACACCCTGTTTAGGCCAGAGGACACTTTCTCAGCAAGCAGACRCAGAACGGGAGGAACATCAGGTACCTGCTGCTTCATTGTTTTTGTGTCCCACAGCAGCAGCTTCCCGGGAACCTGGTTCATGCTTCTGCCTCCACAGGTGACTGCTGAGAAGTCCACGTGGGAGATGGGACTCGGGGCTGCYGCAGAGCAGACGAAGGAAGCGCCGCTTGGGCTGCAGGCGAGCGAGAGGATCCTGAAACAGAGCAAAGAGTGAGCAAAGAGCTCTCCAGCAGCTGCCTCCAGAACAACGCCCACCACTCCTGGCTCTTTCATGGGCGCCCTGCAAAACAGCTCCTCCACCTCAGGCATTTTGTAAAGAACAGCAGGATTAAAGTATTGAGACAGATTTTGGTTCTGTTTCTCCAGTGTAACTGAGCATCCTTACGCTGCTCAGACAAGGGCTGCCCTTTAGAAGGAGGCCCGATAGTATTTCAGTTGGAGGAAAGCAGCGGGATCATTGATAGACATAAAGAAGGAGAGAAACAAGAAAGAGCATGTGAGTGAAAAAAAATCAAGAGTATTCTYGTGTTACCTGGGCATGTTTTCATCGATGCTGATTTCGCAAAGGTTCTTCTTTGCTTCTGTGTCATAAAGACGAACCGTCCCAACCCCACTGCCAAGCAACAGCTTGAAACCAGCAAGGAGAGACAGAAGGAGTGTAAGTACAGTGATGCTGCCCAAAAAGCACCAACMCCACACACAGCTAAACATCCACTCCATTCACACATTCTGATTATAGATCACTTTGTTGGGATATATCCTGTCTTTCTGTGCACATAACACTAAGACTGTCCCATCACCACGGGGATGAAGGCAAGAGCACTACACTGCAAGCATCTTGAGAAAGAGATCCAAGAAGCACCATGGTGGAGCAAAATCCACTCCTAGAATATGGCTTGACAACATAGGCTGTAAAGCAAACGAGCAGTCTCAGCATCTAGGGCAGTAAGGCAAAAAAAACAAACATAGAATTAACTATCTAGGATTTAGGAAAAAAAAAACACTCAGCAGAAGCCACTTCCTTTCATCCAGCAAAGGCAGTCATTCAGCAGGGTTCATATCTGCTTTGTGGTGTTAGTATTTAAAGCAGTATGGAGGGAAGCATTACAAAGAAAACGAAGATAGTGAGGTCCGTTTTCAGCTCAGAGCACAATCTGCTGCTGAATTCTGACATATTTCCAACAGAAAAATCTTTCTATCAGCAAGCAGGAAATAACCTCCATAAAGCAGAAAAAAATCACAATGACTACAAGGGCAGTTTCTTTTGTAACTGAGAAAGAAAGGGAAGACACAGCAGCAGTGCCAGCCCTTCACAAGAGACGTTTCGGGCTAGCTGGGACACATCTGCAGTGCTGGAATATGAACCATCTCCCTCAGTCACAGGCCGATTCCTGCCCTATTCCTTTCCCAGGGGAAGGCATGAAATAGGTGCAACAGTTTAAGGACTCTGAAGCTATTTAATTTAAAAGCTATTTAAGTTAACTCTCCAGTAACAGAACTGCAGGAAAAGGGCTAGGGGGGAGATTTAACTGTCAAGAAGTTCGAGCAAAACCACAAGTCTCTATGGAAGTACTGACTTCTTTCCACAGCAAGATGGATGAAGAAATGCAGAATGGTGCTTATGGCACCACTGGCTACTGAGCCCACTCCAGAAGTGACTCGGCCCTGTTCTCCTTTCTGTTTCTGGCTCAGGACACAAGTGAAGCTTCATGGGCTTCCCACCACAGATCTCTCTCAGGCTGCTGGCCTTGAAGCTTTCTTTTCTGTCACGCAGTTGTTCAGGCACTGCAGGGCTTGGGAACCCTTCTCTGCACAAGCAGGGGCCAACTCCTTGCCCAATACGCAGAGCACTCCCTGCTGTCCAGCATTTATCAGACCCTAAGGCTTCAGCTTGTCATGTCCCACTAAGCTGGAAACTATCCGCTGCCCTGATCTTATCTGCAACGCAGCCATCTAGAAGTTAATATACAACACCCAGCAAAACAGCAGCAAATCATCAGCCATGATGCCTTAATCTCTACATACACAAGCTACTCACCAGCCGATCCCGCTTGGTGGCCCATTCCAGAGACAGCAGTGGAGATTTGGAAATGGATGAAGCTTTGGTCTGCATTATGGGATTAAAAGACCACACTTTGATGACTCCATCCACATCCAAGCTGGCCACCCTTCGTCCAGAACAATCAACCCTATGTGCAGAATGAAATGGATTGCATATTTTTCTCCCTAGAGTTCTTAGGTATGAATAGGTTCCCTAGAAATTCTCCTGGCCACAGTGGCACCAGTTCCCACTGTAGGAATAGACCTTCCTGTTCAATCCACACCAAGACCTAATGCAATACAATGCCCCAAGCTCCCCAGGCAAAGCGTAACGTGCATGACCACCACCCTCTTGTCTTGCTGGAGAGTTCTCTCCCGACTGGAACCTCCCAGTGACAAAACCACAATCCATTCTCACTGCACAAGCCACGGGCTATTGCCATTCGCAGCAACTCAACAGCTCTACGGCCACGGTTAGACACACAGTGTCCTGGGCAGGACACAGGCTGGCAGACAGAGAYCAGACACAGCTGCTCCTCTGCGGGTGCTCCTAGGGGAAGCTCTCTTGGCGCTCCCGTCACCCCATACCTGCAGTACATGATGGAGGAGTGGTGCTCCCCGTACTCCTCCTGGCTCAGGACAATGAAGGGCTGCTCCTGCCGGGCGGCTGCCGCCTCCGCGCTGACGGCGGGCGCCCTCGTGGGAGTCTCTGCTTGCTCAGGCTGGGCCTCTGAGCACGGCTCTGCCTCAGCTGCGGTAGCATCAGTTTTCTTCTCAGCACTCTGGCCCTGAAGGAAGGAATGCTGTATGAAGTGCAAAGGAACGGAAGCACCAGATCAAGCTTTTCAACCACTCCTGGTGGGAGAAAGGACCAAGAAGCAGCATCTCAATATCTCTTATGAATCCCCTGAACTCCAGGCTTTTAATACAGCTTTCTTGATTGGTAAGTTCCCTAGATACCTGCTGTGTTCCCAGCCATGCACTTTACAGTAAGAATTAGAGGAATTACCACATCTGTGTTCAGTGCACCTCAGCTGATGTCATAGGCCTATTTTGATGCTGTTTGGGCACAGATTCACCATCAAGTCACCACAGACTAACAGTTCGAGCAATACAAGATGGATTTGTTAATAGAGTTCAGCACATAAAACCTCTTGGTGGACRTAAAGCGCACCAGACCGATTAACCTCCTGTTTGACACTGTTAGTTTGCACACATTAGGATAATCACCACAGCCAACTGACTGATGACAACTGCAAACTCACCAAGGGTGAGTCCAAGAGATTAAAACCCAATTTGACAGGTCAGAGAGAAGAAAAGGAGTTTCAGGAGGTGAAGGTGTCTGTAAGAGACATGACCCACACTGCACCACACTGTTGCTTCAAAGCAGCCTAGTCTTTCATTGCCACCAGGATCTGAGCACAGAGCAGAGACAGACACAGCACACTAAATGCCTGCCAGTAACATGCCTGCAAGCAACACTTTGCAACACCATCCTCCAAGGTCAAAATRGACCAAAAGGATTAAATTCTTATCCCCTACACATCTTGCCTTATTTGCAATAGTATCATRTCTTTAGCAAGAGGTCAAGCACTATAAAATCAAATCCTCTGCAATTAAAAAAACAACTTGGGAAATACAAGAATGCATTTCTGTCTCAGTTAATGTGGGAGGTAACCCATGACACTCATATGAAAGCAGCAGTGCTGCCTTCCAGTTTCCTCTTTCCTCTGGGAGACAACCCATGACACTCACATGCAAGCAACAGTGCTGCCTTCCAGTTTCCTCTTTGCTCACTTACGTTAAGAACAGCAGAGTTAAACAACATCAGCTTCCCCAAGAGCATCAGAAAGAAAACACTTCCTTAACTTGGAACATCTCAGTTGGGCATCTTGGGTTTGCAACTTTCAGACCAGTACTCACTCAAAACCTTTTTTAGACAGTCATGAAGAACAAAGTTCCTTCACAGCCCAGAATAATCAGCAGCACAGAAACATCCCCTCTCCAGGGCATCTCCTAGTGCACACAAACAGCCACACGAACTGGCTGATAAGCACTGGTCCCTCACCAGTCCTTTACAGACCTCCAAGACAGAGTGTCTTGGACAGCSGAGATAAACGTGCCTGAGGTGCTGCCATTATGTCCTTTACGCTCTCTTCTCTGTTCCAGTAACACATGACTGCAGCTGAAAACCAAACATGCAGGTGAATAGAAGCAGTTCACTGACTCTCAATGAGTAACATCCAGGATAGTTTTATTATTTTGCTGGTTTGGGAAGCAGAGCATGCCTCACACAAAATTCACTAGGTAATGCAATTTCAATGAGAAAAATTGCTATCAAGGATATTTACAACATCTCATTTTCTTTCACTTTCCAGGAAAAAATGCTATCAATTTTCAACAGAACAGCATAAGAAACTAGCTGCCGGGAAAAGAGAAAAAAAAAAAAAAACCCACATATTTAGGAATCCATACGGCCGGTTTGTTTGGAAAACCATGATTTCCAATGAGGCTTTCAAATTCACATTGTAATTGCTCATTTAATTTGGATGTGTGAGTCAAACTCACTGGTACTAAGGAAGGGGGTTTATAAGAAGATATTGGACATAACAGCCATTAACATAAAAAAACAAACAAAAAAAGCACTCTCTAGGGCCAGGTTATTGGCTATTGAAAAGAACAAGAAAGAACAAGACAAAAGACAAGCCATCATCCATCTGAAATCCCAATTCTAAGTCTGCTSCAGAGACACAGAAATAACACGAGTGTGCAAAGAGCAGATTAACTGTAGAGATTAACCTTTGATACATCTGATCTGAGTAGCAGTCCAGAAGCCTAATGGGAACATTCGCCCTTGTTCTACTACCTAGCACAACAAACTGCACAAACGTAAGCCCTCCACAAGCTGCTCGTGGCCTCACAGCATGGCCCAATACCTGGGAGGTCCCTTTCGAGAGCAGCTCCTTCCTTTCCTTCCCATGCTCTTGCAGGCGCCTCTGCCGCTGCTGCAGGGAGCTCAGTTCACCTGCTGCTAACCCGCTGAAGTGGCTCTTCCCATCCTTGCTGCTCACTGCTCCTTCCTTCCCCTTGGCACTCTGAAAGGCAGAGGAACGATTTGGTGAAGTCGCACTTGCGCCAGGCTGCAGAGCAAAGGGCAAAGCAGGAGGCAGCTGCAAGGTCTCCACCAGCCCTCACACAAAAGCAGCTGTTCCTGTGCTGCTTTCAGGCCCAGCACTCACCAGGAGGAAAGGACATGTCATTTTTCAGGTGGAGGCAAAGGCTTGTAGTAGTATCATGCTGCAAGCTCACTCCCCGCTACTGAGCACCCTTCCTTGAATAGATCTGAGAATCACCTGATGATTTGCTGATTCTTTCTTTCCTAGCAGCACACTGCTGGTCTGTGTTGGAGAAGCCCCGCTTGGCTGGATTGGTCTGGAAGGGCCCTTTTTACTCTGGGAGAGGAAAGAGGACAGAAAGCCTCCCCGGGCCTGAAGAGAATGTGCAGTGCTCCTCTGGCTGCAGGTCATATCGCTAATTCAAAAGAGAAACAAAACATGAAAGTAGAGCCAGACAATCCAGAGAACACCCAACAAGCAAAGCACCAGCTGTTTGAACCGCTACAGGACACAGCTTCCTTCCCAAACTSCTGTCAGACAACTGTGCTAGCCTATTTTAGAACATCCTGTTGGTGACTTGAGCAGATCATTACAAGTACCCTAGGTGGACAACACTCATGTCTCAGAGGTACAGCACTTCAAGGACAGCAGGCCCAGCTCTGGCTAAATCCTCTGTAGAACTATCTCAAACTCTTTATATTCCAACTAGTTAGTTTAGAAAAATTCCTAGGGAAAGGAGGAGAAACACAGTTTTCCAGAAAGCACATTGAGCTTGGACTCCTAATCCAAGCCATTAAACAGCGCACCTTTGAGAAGCCCYAAGTATCTAAAGCTCTCCTCAACCACCCAGCCACTCCCAGCAATACTAAAGCACAGGCCTAACATCCCAAAAATGGGACCCAAAGAGGTCAAGGAAAGCGAGGTTCATTTCTATGGCTACACACATTTCCCCCTTCAGCCTGCAATGCTGAGGGCAGCAGCTCCTTCCCAGAGCACAAGCCCCTAACCTCCTCCTGCTACAGCCTCCCCGGAGGGCAGAGCAGCAGCAGATGAAGGGGCACCTGATCTCCCCCACTCTCCCATCACCCCTCCAGTAGGGACTCCCTGTCCCCCACATCACTGTTCCACATGCAGACATGAACACTAGGGCTTCCTCACAGCACTTAAACTGAAGAGACCTCAGATTAAACTCTATGGGCTGTCCCGTGCAGATAGTGCAGAGCAGTTACCAAGATAACTCAACAAACAGGCTATTTACTCAAAAACTAGACTCTGTGTGGCCTCAGTTACAGCTTCCCTGTCTCCGTCAGGAGCATAATTTGATCCATTCCCTCATGTCTAAGAGGAAATGAAAGAAACACACAAAAAAAAACCCTAACCAAACAAACAAACAAACAGAAAAACAACAAAGCTCCAGACTGTGACTAAGATACTCCTACTCTCAGGTCCTTTTTAAAGCAAAAAAAAAAAATTTATTCAGGCACACAGACTTGCTTCGGAGCTGTAGAAAACAAGGATTGAAACACACATACCTAACAATTCAATCTGTATTGCTGCATACATTGCCTAATCTCCACAGACAATAACTTAATAAAACAGGCTTAACAGAACCCCACAGAATAGATAGTCCCTTTCACCARACTTGGAAGAGGTAAGAAAGCATCTCTCTGCATAACGATGATTCTCCAGGTCACACAGTATCAGTGTCTATAGGTGACAAAACACCCAGGTCCTAAAGAAAACCCACAGGGAATCAAGAGACTCTGCCGAGCATGCACTCCATCTGAGCGGTCCTGMAGAGTATTGCACCATTACCTTTATCTCCAAGAAGAAAAGCCATGCCCTGGCTGCAAAAAAATATCTTGGTGCAGTGCTGAGACCACAGCAGAAAAACATCCACACAAGGTTGGGTCCTTACAAATCCAGAAGACAGTCTGTCCTTCCCTACCAAATATGGGGACAGAAACTGCTGCGAATTCKCCACTGAAGCTCAGTTAGGAGGTCAGCAATTCTGCCTGGGTGCCCTTCCACAATCTGGGTGCCCTTCCACAAGCGTTTCAGGGCAGGGGAACAAGCAAATGACACTCTGGGTGCCACCCTGGGCCAATAACAGCAGCAGGGACCATCCCCACTCCTCCTCTGAAGGCACTCACAGCTCAGAGTCCCCTAGACGGTCCATGTTGGCCACATACGCAGGCAATTTGTGGTGCACAACTGCTTCTTCCACTTCCAGCTCTTCTTTCTTCACGCGGGAGGATTCAGCCTGCAAGGCAAATAGCTGCAACAAGGTAGGAGAGCCAAGTAAGCAAAGGTTTAATTGCAATTCACCTCCTTCCCACTCAGTGAAGTTGTTCATTCCTTTTATTTCAAAAGCCCCAGGAAGGCTGAGGAAGCCAAAAAGCTGTTCTGATCAGCTGAGCTCCCCGTAGAGGCACAAGTGGTACTCTGTGAAACCGGGGCCTACTTAGAGCCCTTCCCTCCTCTCCGGGGGCTGTTGCTGTAGCGACATGAAGGGCGCTGAGAAACTGCAGCTGGCCAGGGCAGGGATCACGGGCCCGTCACSCAGCGCCCGTGGGCAGCCCGGGGCAGGGCTGTGTGGGCACCGAGGCCACCCTGTCACCTCCTCCCCACAGACTGATGGCGGCCGGGGAACCAGGCCGTGGAGCCGCCCCCAGGCCGGCTGCTCTCCCAGCCTGGACGGGTCATCAAAGAGAAGGCAGTGACAGTCACAGGTCATTAAAGAGAAGACAGTGACAGTCACGGGTCATTAAAGAGAAGACGGGACATGCTTCTCTCTCCCCTCAGCAGCAGGGAAGCCCAGGAAGCAGCTGTGTGTGAAGTATGTGGTTTCTGCCTGCCACTGCGGGCCGCAAGAAGAGTTCCTCTCAGGCTTTAATGCCACAATATTTTGGTTTTCAGATACAATTCTTTTTGTGCTTCTACTGTAGTGTTTAAGGAAAAACATGACAAAAAAAAAAAAAAACCCGTCACTTTAGAAATTCAGATTACTATCCATGTTACCCACATAGACATTCAGTTTCCTCAGTGAAACTGGAATCCCTAATTAAATCCAGTTACTGCAGGAGTCACTAGTTTTTTCACACCATTTTTAATTTAAACCTATATTTAACAGGTAGCTCCTCCTTTTCTAACCTGATCAGTTATCTGAAATGACAGGCCTAGATTTACCTCCCACTATCTGGCTCAGGAAACTCACCTCAGTCTGTAAGCAAGACCAATCAACCCAGCATGACCAAAAATTAGCTTCAGTCCAAACAGAAATGCAAAATACAAAACTGGAGGGAAGAAATGAGCCCCATTTCAAAACACAACCTATTCTCTTCTCCCTATTCCGTTGGCCAAGTTTTCCTCATCTAGCAACTCCACCACCGTGCAGTGCTTGCCTTCCTTGATCCATAATGCCTCCTTTCTGAAATAGATCAGTCTGTCATATCTCAACATGTTAGGGCAGATAAACACAGTGCAATTCATCTACCAAAAACAGTTTTAACTGGAAGTTAAGACATCATCATAATGTTTTGTAACCAAGGAGTTAAAGCACAAACTTATATTACTGAATATCCTTCATTTAGGGGATACTTTTACTCAGTATATGTTTGGGGAAGTAAAACTAAAGTCCTGTTTCCATGAATAGAACTTCCTGCTTTTACATGATCATCCAAATGTGATAGTTTGGAAAGTTCTCCCATTGTAGATTGTTTTTCCTAGTCTCTCTAATGGGATATTATACTGGGAAAGGACTAGCTAGTCTTATGTAGAGAGAAAGTGTAAGAATATACATCTGCTGACGTGTTTCAGTGGAGTCAGCTCTATATGTGCTTAACTTGCCACTGATTTCTGCTTGGCTGATTTTGCATTGTAGCAGAAGATGAGTTCACAGAGGATCCAGCCATGCCTCAGACAGCGTAGGGAGAGGGCAGCAATGTCCTGAGCAGGCATTTCACGAGTCAGCATACAATCACAACCCTTAAGTTTGCTGGAAACAATTCAAAGCAAATTAAAGGATTTATACAAGGCTCTGCCTAGGAATAACTGCACTAAATTGAAGAGCCACTACATTCTTGAAGAGAAAACCAACTTAACACAATCAACAACCTTTTACGGACAGTTAGCAAAGAGTGACTTCAGTTCTGACCTTMTGCCGCAACGATTCGTTCTCTTCTTGTATGAGACTGGTCCTGTGACATTCAGCCTCAAAGTTCAAAATGACTGGAACAGGTGAGGAATGTTAAAGGAAAACTCAAGGCAATACCACAAGTCCACCCGGTTTAGCTATAAAAGCTGTAAAGAAACAGTCAATACAACCAATTCATAATGACCATTTGCTTGAAAGGCAGCAAATCTGGGCGGTCTGTATTGCTAGCAAAAACATGTGAGGCCAGAAGATTGGTATCAGCTTATTTATCTAGACCAGCTTTGTATCGTTACCGCAAACCAACTTSATAAACACCATTTTACATTGACCTGGCAAGGAATTTAGACCGTTCCTTTTTACAGATGGGAAGTGGAAGACAAGAAGGTTGTGCAATGCAGAGGAGACAGACCCAGATGAGCTGCATTTCAGCCACAGCATAAACCTGCCCATCGCCAAGTGAAGCTGGACAGAGCGGGCCACAAACTGTCCTTTCCCTTAACACTGACTTCTCTATCATAGTGGGATGTCGCTAGACGCTTTGGGAACAGGTATAGCCAGACAAGAGTCCAAAAGGATATCCCGATTTAGTTATGGACTGTGACCCGAGCTTGTACTGTCCCAAGGCAAAAGTTTGAGAACAAAATGCACACAAGATTTCCCACCACTAATCCGTTCACTAACATAAGAATAAGTTCAGGATTAGTGACAGTAATGGTGGTTTGTGCCCAGGGAATACAACATATCATCATATAATTGAACAATTACTATTCCAACATCCTCTGGTGAACAACAGCTTCTTAACAAGTCTTGGCTCTGAACAATCACYTGAGAGCAGACAGTCCTATAATACTTGATTCTTGGCACTGCTAAAACCATAAAACATTAAAACCAGCACACGGGCAAGTGGGATTTAATTACAAAATGGCCCCCAAAAAAGGATATGCATGCACTGAAACAAGACGCTCAGGAAGTTGTGCAGGGACACAATGAATGTATCAGCCCACTGGCGTGAGAAATAGGTGGCGAAGGTGGGGTTGGAGTCTGGGGCTGGGAGGAAGGGCAGGACAAACCAATCCTTCCACTCCGCCTGGTTCTGGAGCTCGGAGGCCTGCTTGAGGAAGAACTCCTGTGCCTTGTCATTGCGGCCGGTCTGCAACACACCAAGAGGGGCTTGACTCACCTTTCCATGCAAGCCACCGCATGGGATCCAGCAACGTTTGCTCCACGTCAGGAGCACAGTGACAACCCCTTTCACCAACAACCAACCAAGCGATCAGTTAACAGATTTATCCAGGAACAAGAGAATCTCGAACGCACCAGGAGACGCTCCCAGATGCGCTTAACCTCTCCATTTACCACAGCTCCATCCAAAGGCTGAGGCAACCAAATTCCCTCCTCTGACTTCTAGTGCAAGTGGAGATTGTGCACTTATAGAAAGGCCTAAGTGTTTGCATACAGGACTAAGGGGAAGAGCACACTTCACATTGCTCAATAACTCTACAGTGGATGCAGCCTGAAAAAAAAACGTCCATCTGATGCATTATTCAAACAGCACAGTTCTATACTGCACAGTGAGCAGGGGGCAAAAGAACAAAACAGAAAAAAAAAACACAGAGAAAAGAATAAAACAGGAAAAAAAATGCAGAAATGTGGAGTTAATTTTCCATCAATAGCCATGATGTAAGATTTTCATGGAAGGAAGTGGAATCAAGGAAGAAATATTGCTCCTAAATTTAAAAAAAGCAAACAAACAAAACCCAATTCCTGACAGGTATTTTGCTTCCTGTAGTCTCCCCTGCGTAGTATATCCCACTCACTTTCCAAAGATCTCATTCAGTGCCTCTACTGCACTTTACACTAATTATTTCTGTTCTGTTCATAACAGACAAAACTGTTAATTCCCTTTTGCTTCCCCATTACCTTGCACAGATTTGAAGGACACTTCTCCCCTCCGTCTTCTCCTTAACATACTAAAAAGAAGCAAACAACTCGACTCCCTTGACTTCAAGTCCTCCTTTCTTCTAGTCCTCCCAACTCCCTGGATCCATTAGGACCACCCAAGCCCTGCTAGGACCTTAGAGTAGAAGGAAAGCAGACAACACTCCTGCTTATCCACCCAAGCACAGGCTCCTTCTGACTTGATTTGCAAATATTACCACAGGGACACCATCTAGAGCTGCACTGAGGCCCTTTTCCGCATTGCTGCTACCTGCCCGCTGTTTCCTTACCCTGGACTAGTTCCAGTTGATCATTCTCGCCCAGCCCATCACCACACAAGGCTGTGTCACCCCCCAACACACAACCCGTGTCCCCCGGCCCCGCTCTGCCTTCACCCCCAGGGGCGCTTTCAAACACAGGTCTGASCCCACAGGCCACCTGGACAGTGTGGACGAGGTAGTAGCGGAACAGGCTGGTTTTCAGCTTGCTCACGGTGGGCCGGTACACGTCCTCCAGGCGGCTGAAGAGGCGCCGCTCCAGGTAGCCCCAGTAGTCCCGCAGCGCGGCCAGGTCGTAGCTCTGCACRAACTGCTGCAGCTGCTCCACTATCTTGTCCACCTAGGGAGGCGACGGGGACGGGGGAGGCAGCGTCACGCGGGGGATCCCGGGGGAGAACCAGCCTCCGGGCGCCTCGGAGCGTCGGCACGAGCTGCTTTCCAAGGCGCGAAGCTGCTCTGGGTCCCGTCCTCGCACCCGCGCCCTGCCGCGGCTCCCGAAGGGAAGCAGGGGGAAAGGCGAAAGGAGGAGGCCAGGCAGACCCCGGCGCCGGGTTTTATTTTGTTAAACACAAGGCTTTTACAGCGGGGAGCAAAAGGTTCCCGCCGATTTTAAAACGCGGTTGATAAGAAACACATGGGTCACTAATGATGGAAACTCACGTGCAGCAATTGGAAAATCGGGCTATTTTCCAACCAGGAGGAAAAAATGTATTTAGCCAACAGAGAAGCACAGAAAGAGGGGGAAATATTTCCACAGGATCTCTGGGGTGGTTTTATCCTTCATTATGCCACCCTTTGGGAGCTGGCCGTGCAGGCGCAGGGCGCCTGGCTGCCCCGCGGTGCTGCCAAACGCCGCTGCCGCGGCGCGAGCGGCGCCCGGGGCCGGGGCTGCCTCCGGGGACGCGGGCTGCGCCCCGCACCCCACGCAAGCCCCGCAGCGCCCGCGCTGCTTGTTCCGCCGCGGGC